ATTCTACATTTGCTTCTTCTTATCCTTGTTGCTGTTTACGACACAAGGAGAATGAGAATAATCAACCGGAAGCCGAAGTCGAACCTCCGATCCAGGTTGCTTGCTTGGAAGTTTGATTGCTTACCTTGTTTATTACCTCATTCAGCAAATCTCCTAGCTCGGCGACTTGGGGGACTCATACTATAGGGTTTGTATCGCACTTGACCAAGCCCGAAACTACAAGTAAGCTTCAAGTAAAATTGATACATTACCTTGTGCATCTTCATCGGTTAAAGATACCATCCCTGGATGAAGGAAAAGTACTTCCAGATAAGATGCCACATCTACATATGAGACAGATAAGGCAAGTGAAAATGATACCACACTTCGGTACTTAGAAGTTTCGTGATTACTCAATGGCTTGGATCTTACAAGTCCCTAACCGAGGAGCTTCCCTCACTCGGGAACTTAGGGGAGCACTGTTTGTACCATACTTGACCAATCCTGAAACTACTGAGCACCGGTCAACGTTATGCCACCAAGGACCCAGAAGAGTTTCCCTCAAACCAGGAGGCCAATCACAGCACGACACGTGTCGACATCAGAAGCCAATCATAGCGCAACATGTGTCAACATCAGAAGCCAATCACAACACGACACGTGTCAATGTCAGAATGAAACTAGAAACTTTTTTCTATAAATAGAGATCATTCTCTCACAATATTTCCGAATGTCATTTGTACTAAATCATTCACTAGTACTCACTAAAGGAAAGCTTGAACCTATGTACTTGTGTAAACCCTTCACAATTAATGAGAACTCTTCTACTTCGTGGACGTAGCCAATCTGGGTGAACCACGTACATCTTATGTTTGCTTCCCTGTCTCTATCCATTTACATACTTATCCACACTAGTGACCGGAGCAAACTAACGAAGGTCATAAACTTAACACTTTCTGTTGTACCAAAGTCCTCACTGATTTTGTGCATCAACAGAGTGATTAGGTTAACTTGTGAAAGAAATTTACCAAGATGCACGACATGAGTCTAGGATCACAGTCGATTTCGCATCCTAAAACAAGATGACTTGCACGTGAAGAAGACATGGCTGCTAAGGTTTTCAGAAGATTGTCTTCCACTCTTTCCCCTACATTAGTTGGACTTATACTTTGGTGAAAGCCTTTCAGAAGATTGTTTTCCTCCTATCAGCTTGCCTTGCGAAATTGAAGGATGATCCATTGTTAGCCGTTGATATTGATGAATTGTGTAAAACACAGAATCAGAATGTCATGACTGATGTGATGGACGTCACTGAGTTTGAAGAGTGATTGGATGATTTTGGGATGTGAAAAGTTTCTAAAATGACATTTCAGCTTAGCTATTTCAACATGCTTTTAAGTCGTTGTGAAGTAGTCGTGTATTATGTAGAATGGTTTTGTAGAGTAACCTGGTTGTATGCAATGACGAAGCTACATAGGGGCAAAGAGGGGCAACCGCCCTTCCCCTCGCCGGAAATGAAGCCCAGGAGTGAGTATCCGCCTCTCCTCTCGCCGAAAATGAACCCCTGTTTTCTGCTGCTGCGTGCTGCAATTCAGTTTTCTGAAAACCCCAAGCCAAACGGTGTCGTGTTGGACGTAGAAAAAAGAAAACCCCCTTAAGTAGAACGGTGTCATTTGTATTCATTGAAAAACGTAAATAAATAAGACTGACATATGTGACCACTCTTCCAAATTAACCTTATTAGAGCCCCCACGAACCAGCTCGAGAAGATAAGCCAACCTTCAAGCCACTACCCAGATTCCCTCTTCGCGCATTCGCCCTTCCCCTCCAAGTTTCAGCCTTCAAGCCAAGCCACTGCCCAGCTTCAAAGGCTTTCAAAGCTTACCTGAATTCCTCTCCAAAACTTGACAACAACAATATATAAGCTTATAGCTTACCTAAATTCCTCAAAGTTGGCTACTTAATCTCGATTGAACCTCCAAATGACACGATTGAAGTCAAGAACACTTGAAACATGAAATTAAAGTCTAGTTTGTATAATTCCGAATTAAAAAAACAAAATTCCAAACCTGATTACATGTCCAAATCCTTTACCTAAACTTGTTTGGCTTGACTCATTGAATCCGTAGGCGAAAACCTTTTGTCAAATCGACGAGCAAAAAGAAAGTTACGAATTTTCAATGACTTTTTTTTAGGGAAAACGGAGGGAAGCTGAGCTTTCCGGAGAAGCCGAGATTGATGAGAATATGAAGAACCAGATAGCATTCTGGTTTAAAAATTAAACCCACGTGGCTGACTAAATTTGTATCTTTTGGGACTTTGTAACGTGGTGAAACTAGATTTCACCTCATAAGCAATTATGAAGATGCATTGTAATTTTTCATCATTAAAAAAAATAGTGATATTTTTGGTGAATTTCGAGAGTTGTGAAAATTATAAGTTAGTGTATAAACTTCTTAAATTGGTTTTAGTGTTACCGTTGCAACCGTTTCAGTGGAAAGAGCATTTTCTACTATAACCATTGTGAAAACACCATTGCGTAACAAAATAGTTGATCAATGATTGAAGGATAGCATAGTTGTTTACATTGAGAGATATTTTTGCTTTTATTGATAATGACAATGAGCATATTATACGACGTTTTCACAACATGAAACGTCGCCAATAACAATTGTAATTTGTTTGTATTGATAAATTATGATCAACATTAATATTGTCTACTATATATCTAAATGGATTTAGTTGTCTACATTTTTGTGACCTCTTACCCTTTTATATTTCGCCCCTCCCCCCAACAATTCGTGGCTTCGCCACTGATTGTATGATATTGCATATGTAGTACTAGTAGTTGAAAGCACTTCCAGTTCCTTCTCTCTGATGAATTCTTTTAGACTGCATTTGGACAAGTGTATTAACATGAGGCATTTAGTTGGATTGCCTAATTCAAATTGTATACTTGGTTAAATCTCATTATTCTATATTTGAAGTGGTTTAGAGAGTAATTGTGAAAGAACCCGTTAACCTAGTTGTACAATGAACAAAGTTGGAACTCACAACTTTTTTGGGTCGTGCCATTGGGAAATAGAATAGCTGCAAGTTTGATGAATGCATCTAATTAGACTACTTTCAAGTACATTAATAATATTGTACTAATGAATCCTAGCTATATAGTCTAAAATATTTCAATTGAAGTAGTTTGTCATACTAATTAATATTTAAGATAAAGTTAAAAAATAATTTCTTTTAAAAATAAAGTATATTCAGTAATTCACCTTTATTTGTTAAGAAAATTAATTTAATGGCATATCTTATACCCTTTTTTTGTCATTTCACACAGTCACTGCTGTTTTACATAAATGTTTACCAAATACTATAATACTACTTTTTCTTCAAAAAATACTTTTACAAAAAAGTTTACCAAACAATCTGCTGCTTTATTTCATAACTGCTTATTCTCACAGCACAGCAGAAACAATTTTTTTTTTCAAAGCACAACAATACCAAATCAGCCCTTAATTATAGTGTTTTATTATTTTTCCCCCAAATTAATTATAGTGTTTTATTGTTTATATTATTGTATGTTGTTCAATAGTATTGATGTTACAACGTTAGTACGTCCGCTTTCATATAGATTTCAGGACCAGAGCGTGACATTTCGCCCTTTCATGGGATCCCTTGCTTCTTAATTCCACGTAGCAAACTCAAAACACCACTCCCACAAAGTGTATGATAAAATGATCCGGGGAAGTCCAATTTGCATGATTTTTAATTCTTTCAATTCTATTTTGTCATTAGAATTTGGAAGTGTTGTTATAGAAGACTCTCTTCTTCCATATTTGGCTATGCATGTAGCTTCAAAGACTTGAACTTTCATCTGCATGCTTTTTCATTTTTCCCTGTACAAACTTTTTAGTCCAAATTTCTGCTACGTTTTCCTGGAAATTGATATCATATAAGATATAAACAGAGAGATCAATCACTCTCATTTCACTACATTCTTTAGCTAAATTTTTCTCTCTTTTGCAAATATTTAGGGTTAACAAAACAGACATACTTCTTATGCAAAAATATCATTATATCACCTATACGTAGACCTGACATTTTAGATCAATACGTTAACCCGACTCAACCCACTTGGTTAAAATTAGCATTTTAGTGGATGCTTAATGAATCAGGTCGTTAACAGATGAACTTGTCCTATTAAATAACGGGTCATTTTGGGTCTACCCGAAACCTGTTAACAATTGTTAGTTGAGGGTGTACATGTAATTTACTACAGAAGACTTAGGAGCAAGTTGAGTCGGTCATTTCTTCAAACATGTGATAGGGGTGTAATGAAAGGAGAAATTGGTATCTTTGACGAACCGATGCGCGTGGGTGATCAGGCTTCAAGACGACGATGTGGAGATGGAAATCCACCCTCATTAGTAGAGAAGACATCGTATAATCGCAATCCAAGAATAAGGTTGATGTGTTTTCTATACTAATAAATTTTTAGTGAAATATTTAAAATAAATTGAAAAAAATTTAATAGATTGGGTTTGAGTGAAATATCTAAAAATTTAGCTAAAGAGAGAAAAATTTATTAACAATTCTTTAGCTAAATTTTTCTCTCAATTGCGCACCAAGCCGCCACCCCGCCCACCACCCAGACCTGTAAACAGGCCAATTTTATTGAGTTTAGATTGGTTTTAACCTAACCCGTTAAGTTAATGAGGTACTTTAATTTAACCCATTAAGCTAACAGGTTACCTAAATTTAACTTGTTATGCTAATAGGTCACCTGTTAACATTCATTAACAATTTTTTTTTTTTAGATATTTAATCCAACTGTTACAAACAGAGAGCCCCTTTAAAGTTATAATAATTATAACCGTTTGATTAAAATCCAACGGTCCACATTAGTGGATCCCGAGGATTTGCCTCGGAGGGCATCCAATTCCGAAGAGAAGAGGGAAAAGCACTACCCTAGACTTTAGATGATTTTAAACGGTTCAGATTAAATATTCTTTATCTTCGGGCACCGAAAATTCCCGGTGGAGGACCCAAAACCCGTACGCCTACCTCTCCAAAGACACAAGGTAGTCGTAGTCGTCCCTCCCGTCTCCCATACCCTGTGTGCTGTGCTTTTTCCATGCCAGAAATCTCCCGGGAGGCCACACACCGTCGATTCTCCGATCCCCCAAGTCCTTCCCTCAAGGTATTCGCTTCTCTTCACCCCCTCATGCTTTGATTCTTATATACATCTTTATTCTGTTTTTTATACACTCTATTTGCTGTTTGGTTACTGAGAAAGTATGGGAAAAATTAAAAGAAAAAAGAAGAGAATTACGCACGTGATTTTTTTTATTTTTTTTTGGGGGGTTTATGTTTTGGCATCTTGATGTTTAGAATTTCGATTTGATTAGTTTAATTTTCTGTTATCTTACTAGAAATCTAGCATTTCCAATTTGTGGGATTGAGGATTTTGACGCTGACCCTTGTTTTTTTCTTTTCTAGGGTTTATAATTTGCTTCCAATTTTCAGCACTCGGCTTCATGTGTACGTAAACCCCATTTCTACATTGTTCTAGGTCATACCCAATCCGATATCGAGCGTTAAGTGCTACTTGTAGCTACTGCTGGAGTGTGTGTTTTCTAGGTTATATATCAAAAGATGATAGGGAATTCGTTGGTCCAAGTTTCCACATGCCCCACGATGTTGTCTTTGTCACGCATTTCTGCAAATAGTTTGCCTTATCTTCCTTCAAGATCACCAACAAAAGCAACCCGGATAAGAGCTGCATCGGCAGAGACAGGACATAGCCAACAACCCTCCTCTTCTTCTGAGAAAAAGAATCCACTTGCAGTTGTTTTGGATGTCCCTCGGACTATTTGGAGGCAAACATTACGACCGTTGAGTGACTTTGGGTTTGGTCGTAAAAGTATATGGGAAGGTGGGGTAGGATTGTTTCTAGTTTCGGGTGCAGTTCTCCTTGCACTCAGTTTGGCTTGGTTACGGGGGTATCAATTGAGGTCTAAATTCAGGAAGTACTTTGCTGTGTTTGAGTTCACTGAAGCTTGTGGAATATCCACTGGAACGCCAGTGAGGATTAGAGGGGTCACTGTAGGCAATGTTATCCGTGTTAACTCTTCCTTGGAAAGTATTGAAGCTGTTGTCGAGGTATGCTTCAGTGTCATAATAATCCATTTTCAATGCTGAATGAAAATACAGTATTAGTTTTTTTGACCTTAATGAGATTACTGTTTTTGTAGGTTGAAGATGATAAAACTGTCATACCTCGAAATGCACTGATTGAGGTAAACCAGTCGGGTCTTCTCATGGAAACTAGAATTGACATTACACCTAGAGACCCGCTTCCGAATATTTCAGTTGGGCCTCTTCATCCTGAATGTGGCAAAGAAGGTCTGATTGTATGCGATAGGCAAAAGATGAGAGGACATCAAGGTGTGAGTTTAGATGCATTGGTAGGTATATTTACTCGTCTTGGACGTGAAGTGGAGGAGATTGGTATAGCTAACACTTATTCACTCGCTGAACGAGTTGCTTCCATGATAGAAGAGGCAAAGCCACTGCTATTAAAGGTGTGATGTGCCCCTTTATGTTTTCTTCTTTAGTTGAGAATTATCTATGTTGATGAGGATAATTAGGGCCATTCATTTACATATTTTTATCAATCTTGGATGAGGACCTATTTGTTCCAGAATCTATTTGCTTCAAAATAAATTTGAAAGGCAAAAAGTGTAGGGACTTCCATCAGCCGTTTGGCACGAGACAAAGATTAGGTTTTCCTCTGGCACAACTGTGCATTTGTGGAAGGTCCTGGAAGACATCATTTACATATAACAATGGCAACTGCAATAGGGGTTTACATATCTTCCAGTTTTCTGAGGCTGCATATCTATTAAATAAAGTTTCTTTTTTTCTTTTGGTCTGATCTGTTGAATAAAAGTTGAAGTTACCTGTAAAATTACTGCACAGATACCAAAGTTTGTTTGCAATGGGTGGTTCGCAGATAGGAAGATACATGCAAATAAATCTATTTGAATTGTTTACCTTCGTGGCATGTATTCATGCTGTTTGTGTATTTAAGATTAAAAAAAAATCAAATTTTCTGTTATTTGTCATCTCATTCATTTATCTAACACTTTATACTAATTTTCAAAAGATTTCCAATTAAGATTCTGAGTCATTTGTGAAACTATGAGGCTTTTTGGAAGAGTTGTTTGGAGTTATAGATTCTCATTGATTAATTGAATTTAAGTTTTCAAGGCATGAATTTGTTTTTTTACACAGGTAGACTTCTGTTGGCATTAAAAGTAAACATAATTTTCCCCTTTTAGGTTACTAGAATATCTCTTCTCATAAGAAACATAATTTGATTAAAAATAAAAAGAACAATACAGATACAGGGGACAATATGAAAACCATCTATTGGCATACAACGATCCTTTATGTGTGTTATGTAGAAAAGTACTCGTACATAGCTTGAAATTTAGATTGCAGGACAATTTAACTTGTTTTGTGTTCCAGTTCGAGCCAATTTGGAACTCTTATATGGATCTTCTTATATATTCTCTTGTTGCTGATGCCCATTTGTCTAGACATGATTGGTTACATCATGGCAGTATTTTCTGATTTTATGCACTGGAATTAGTGTCAATTTGGTAAACACAACAATGGTCGATACAGCCATTCTGCAGAAGCTATAAATCACCTATGTTGCATTTGTATATCAATCAGTATGCGTGCCTGTCTGTCCACCCATATGCATTGGTGTACACTGGATGTTCACTTGCTTCTTACAATTTCCAGTTAATTCATATTTTTACTATACATTCAATATGTTCTCATGCACAAGTATTTGGCTTTGATGTAGTGATCTCTCAGATCCAAGCCATGGCTGAAGATGCTCAACCTTTGCTGGCTGAGTTTCGTGATAGTGGGTTGCTGAAGGAAGTTGATAGTTTGACCAGAAGCGTTACGCAAGCCTCGGAGGATTTGAGGTGAATTTTAATCTGTATTGATAAGAAACTCATTAATCTTCATCATCTATCTTTTATAGTCTCCTACAGGTTAGAATGTGAGATCCAACCCAAAACCTATAGGAACTTGGTGGAGAGGTTCAAGATGGTTTAAACTATTAGGGAATAGTTCCCCGATTTGTGGGATTCACAATCTCAACAATGTGGACAACCTCTGTTTGAGGGCTTTTCATATAGATAGTTTAGAACATTCTTTGGTGTCTGTTGCAGGAGTTGAAATGCATGCCATTAATTTTGGCGTGACTCTGGGTTCTTATTTTTCATATTTATTTCCATGGTAGTTAGCTCACTATATTTAGTAATTATGCGTGTTCATCTTTGTGGTGATGTTTGTTTGGGTGTTCTAGGTAATTGGTTCTGGACAACGCTGGGTAATTCTCTAATTTCGTACTCTCTCATCATGTTTACGGATACTAGAATATGAACAGTATATTATCAGTGTCATGGTACACAGTAAGAAGTTAAAGAGGCTGCCCTGACAGTTTTTCTAATAGTGTTCTGCTGCATTGTGATTTCTCTGTACCCAATAGACATGCATTCTTTGAAAGGAAAACTTCTTTTAAAGGAAAACTTCAAAACTTTTGAGTTTTAATGATAAGGACAAAATAAAGGTCAAGTGAATAGTACCATGATTGACTTTTTAGTGTAAAAATGTGGTTTTTCGTTAAAGTGAACAGTATCGGAAGCTTTTCATTAAAGTTCCCTTTTAATTAATACCACTATGTTGTAGAGTCTTCATTCACTTTCAATTTTGTCCACCATCACCACTTGCCTACCTGCCTGCCACAGCTGATTTCATTATCCCTTCACACACTGCATTATGCCGTCTTTGTTACCATCATTGAGCAATGACATCTACTCATAACACTCACAGTGCTTCCCTACAAGTTCATTATCATCAACACTTTCCCTGTAATCTGGAGTTTGGAATCCAAGATGAAAGTGTATTATCGAGCTATTTGTAGAAATAGTTAAAATTGTTCTTGGGAAGTACAAGTGTATTTATAGGAAGCTATTATAATTTGTAATAATAATTTATGTGTTTCGGAAAAAAGCACTTCCTCTAGAAATTAGAATCATTCCCAGCGGCCTTAGAGACTGGTTGTTAGTGTTCAGACTGCAGAGATTCTGGTCATAATATGGTTTATTGAGTTAGTTTTATGATGACCTTTTAAAATATATCCCAAATCGTTTGATTTTCCAATGTCATCTGCAGAAGGGTGCATTCAGCTGTTATGACTCCTGAGAATACAGAACTGATTCAGAAGTCCGTATACAGTTTGATTTTCACTTTGAAGAATATTGAGGTGATCCTAGTTGCCAAACACTTGAATTTTTTTCTCCATATTCTGTGGCTTGTTTTTCTTCTTATCTTTAGAGTTAAATGTATTTATCATACGTATCTGTTTTCTTGTTTAATTTTTCTACAACTCATCCACCTTTGCAGAATATAAGCTCTGATATTCTGGGATTCACGGGTGACGAGGCTACAAGAAAAAATTTGAAGTTACTGATCAAGTCCCTCAGCAGGCTATTGTGATGAGTGATGGCTGAAGGTGGACTTAGGATTGTCCTGTGTATCTTGGTTGAGCAGATGCCCGCACTTGGTTTTTAGCATTCGTTATAGTTTGGACAGGAGCAAATTGCGCGTGCCTCCTCTTGACCGTTTCTTTTCTTTGTTTCATTTTTTGAATGCGCATAAAGGTTTCAACTCCAGAGCTACATTTGCGTTCTCCAATCGGTCAGTTCAGGTGTGTTTATTGTTTTCTCATAACGTAGTTAAATATAAAGTCGCTTATGCGTTTGTGCAGACGGCCTGGTGCTTTCAGAAACCTTCTGTTCCAAGTTGAGAACGTTTGTTCCAACCTTCTGTTCTAAGTTGAGAACGTTTGTTCCAAGTATTTATTTTGGATAATGACGCGTTTTACAGCTAATTGTGCTTCATTAAGTCGTGCATTTTGCAAAGTATATTTAGTGGTAATACGTTTGTGTGGGCTTTCCCCTAACCAAAGGGTAATGGCAACCATCTCCACTATGTTTTTGGTGATCTGTCGATATTACTCTTTTCTCTGAACTTTGTCGATTTAACGATTAATGCTAGAGTGAGCACATGTCCGGACTATTGAAGAAAAATTGCTGTTTTGTGTTTCCGATTCACTTCTTTTCCTTTCAAAACTGTAAAGCTTAAGCCCGAAACGCACAGTAACACAAATTAGATGGAAGCGATCCATAAGCATAACATCCGAACAAATAAACTCAAGACAAATATTAGGGCAGTCGCATTACGGTCTACTAGTATTCAGCCTTTACTAGTAAGTGAAATGTCTTTAAGTTCAATTCTCATCAAAGACGGATGTAAACCGTATTATTGTAAACTCATTATGAAGTTTATCTCACTCCTCTACTTTTATGTTAGTTAATATCATTTGTTAAAAGAAAAAGACCAATATCTGGGCATTTCAACGTCTTTCACCAGCAACGATAATAACATCTTTCACTAGTATTGGGCTCAAATGTTGTCTAGATTACAAACACTTTTCGACCCGTTTTAATTAAGAAAAACTAATGAAAATGACATGAAAACTTTAAGTTTTAATTAAAATGACAAAAAAAATGTTGTAAATAAATAGTACCAAGAGTGACTTTTTAGAGTAAAAATATCTTTAACGTTAAAAGTGAACATAGTAACAGAAGTGCTTCGTTAAAACTCCCAATTAATAAACAATATAACATTAAAAAGCTTCTCATATTAAGAAGAGAAATAAAAAATCGATTTAATAAAAAAAAGAAATACAAACCCTTTAAAGTAAATATACGAAAATAGAGTCTTGAAACTGATACCTGCATTCCTACAACGAAACAGGTCTAAATCGACATAATTTTAGAATTTAAACATTATCACCATCCTAGTGCAGAATGGAAGCAAAAATTCCAAGCAATGTATTTCGATTACGGTAAAAAAACAACAAAAGATAAGTTTCCAACTCTCAAGTCCTGGTAACCATCTCACAGCCTCAGCTGATTCCAATTCAAGGGTCTTGCACATTCAAACCTACAAAATAAAACGTCATTGAATCCGTAAGAAAAAAAAAACCTTAATAGCTTCAGGAAGTGCATCCTAGAGATAATATAGTAAGAAGATACAATTATGAGACAGAGGCTCAGGGCAAAAGGGGTAGAAAAAGACATGAAGTACTTAGAGCTAACAGAAGACTCCGCGCAAAAGTGAGTGTAGTGCGTACAACTTATTTATCTATTGTCTACGAATAATATGAGAGAACGTTCTAGGATTCATACACCCGACTCCACTTAGTGGGATAAGACTTTGTTGTTGTTGTTGTTGTTGTAAGAGCCAGGGAACATATATGGCATCCGCTAAAATGTGTAGCCACTTCATGCATATCTGATATAAGTGTTACTCTAGCTTCATAGTATGTTGTTAAATAACAGTTTTTTGTTTTGTACGCATCCCAGAAACAGATGATAGTGTTTTGACAACATATTACCTGGAGGGAGAGACTGCTTAAGCTTATCAGCCTTCTCTGTGTCAAAAACACAAAGTGTGTAAAGGTACTTGGAGCATCGAACCTTGAACTTCACCGCATCTTTGGTCTTCTTGATCTTCACAGAGCGTGCGTCTTTCCTTCTTGCAGTGAGAAGGAAATCCTTAATTTCATGGATTTGCTTAGGCTGCCAAAGAAACAGCAAACAAAAGCTCTAAGCACCAACTTCAACTTCAACATATATATGTGATAGAAAACACTAACTCTAAACACTAGACCCAGACTAGAATACGAAACAACTAAAACTGATGTATTATCGTCGATACAGTTTCTTCGAGATATGATTGAAAACAAAACGAAAACTTTATATTAAATTGTTTTAGGGCTTCAAAACATTCTTGACACTGGTGAACATCGGCAGTTGCTTATAAAAAGACTGTTGTAACTAGTTATATACAACGCAAAGAATTATGTCAAAAAGTAAGACGCAGTTGCATTGACACCACCACAATAACAGCACCGGAATCTAAGATCAGAAAACCAAACAACTCCGAAACGCTATGCAACATTATTTCAAACCAGTTCAGCTACCTAAATATAAAAACAACATTATTTCGAGGAAATTCCTCCCTCTTAACCTCTTCCACCATTTTCTGTATAACTTCTACATTTTCTCTAAACAATCCCTGAATTTTTCACTACATGCCAATTAACTCATACCTAAAACGCACCTCATCAGCCTTCCAAGAATCCGTGTATCCAATTCAAAAACCTCAACTATGCACTCACTTAAATGTATCAAAAGTTCAAAACCAGAATTTTCAAATAACCCCACAATATTTTCAAAACCTGAACAGAATACAACTCAAAAGTTTAAAAACAGCCAAAAGAGAAAAATCGAAGAGAACCCATTTGACTACATGATCCGTTCACATATATATATAAACATGTCAAACGGAAGCAAAAGAGGGAGAAGGAGAAATTGAAGATACCATTTTGATGGCGGAGAGCACCCCTTCGCTCCCTTTCCTTCCTGGTAAAGTAGATGGACAAGCTCCCGGCCGCGAGCTTGTGTTTTGAGCTTCTGTATATATACCTGACGGCGTAAGACGCTGCCTAAACCCTACAAAAAGAGCGTATGAGGCAATTTACCCGTTATAACCCTGAATAACAGGTGTTATTACGATAAAGTTTGAGAACTTTAACGAAAAACTATCGGTATTGTTCATTTTAACGAAAAACCATATTTTTATAATAAAAAGTCAATCCTGATACTATTCACTTTACCTTTATTTTTCCTTATCGTTAAAATTTATTTTTTAAGTCATTTTCATTAGTTTTTTTATAAAGTTTTGTAATATTATAATGGGCTTTTAATGGGCATCTAGGCCCAACTTAAATTAAAGAAAAATTAAATTATACCCTTTAAAAATTAAAGAAAAACGTACAATACAACGCGGCTATTACCCTTCCCTGATGCCCTTTCCCGTGACATTTCCGGCGGCCTCTTTGCCGAAATAGCCTACTGCCCAATTCTCATCCCTTGTCTACCCGCATGATAATTGTTTGTCTCTATCTCTCTTCTCTATCTAATCTTCATCTGTCAAATTCTTCCGAAGGCCACAACTCTGATTAATCTTTGCGTTTGAAAATTAAAAAAATTACCTAGACACCTAGGCGCTATGCCCTGCCCGTCGTCCGACTAGTGCCTTACATCTTTTGGAACATTGGGTTGCAGTACAGCAATTATTTAATCATTCATTTTTTTTTTCTTGGGTTTTCTGTTTATTTTAATATTAAAAAATAGCAGGTTTTTTTTTTTTTTTTTAACGTTAATCGTTGGTTTTTTTATTGGGTTTTAACGTCATTCTCAATGGGATACAATTGTCATCAAAATAATTTAGAAATAATGGGTGTTCAGAGATCAAATTTGGGTGTAAACAGAATTTTTCTTTGGAAATTGGTTTTAGTAGCCCATTTACAAAACCACCAAAATAAAATAACGATGATCCCAAATTGCAATTTGCACGAGTCCTCTTTGATAAAAGTACCCTAAAGTTAAAAGCCTCTTACTAAAGCATATGGAGGAGGTCATCACAAATCAAAATAGAGAAAATCAAGGTCGGACCTATTCATGGGCCGGGGTGATCTTGGGACCATTTAAAAGTCTGGAGAAGCACATTGGAGGACCTTTAGGGGTGGTTTGGGAGCGAGGTGCTTAAAAAAAAAGCACCCATGAAAAAAAGCTGTGAGGGTTTTAGGTGTTTGGTAAACTGAAAAAAAAAAGGCTTATTTTGGAAGCTGCTATGAGAATAAGCTGAAATCAAAGGAAAAAGCCGAAGCTGCTATTTGCAGCTTTGGAAAACTGACTTTTTTTCAAAGCACACGAAGCTACAATGCTCCTTTAATGAAAATACCTACTATCAGACTGCTTTTTTTCTTTTTCCAAAAGCACTTTTACAAAAAAGTTTACCACACTCTGATGATTTATTTCACAGCCGCTTATTCTCACAGCACACTCGCTTATTCTCACAGCAGCTTTTTTTCAAAGCACAGCAATACCAAACCAGCCCTTAAGGAGTCGTTTCTGACATTGTGGGAGCCCTGTGCGAACTTAAAAAGAGGCCCTTCTTATTTGAAAAAAAAAAATCTGGACAATATATTCATGTAGAATTCAACAATAAATATTCACTTAATTGGAATCAACATCTCATTCTTACTAATTAAATGATCTCCAATTGCCATGAAATTATGATTTATGGTTCATCTATGAAAAAATGGAGCATGACTGAAACACAAATATGGAAATACTCTTATATTTGTGGAAGAAAGTAATACACAAGTTTGTTTTTTATTGCTAAAGAAAGTGAAAGAAAGTAATACACAAGTTTTTTTATCGCTAGAGAAATATTTAAGTAGAAGTTCCACTCAATCAATTGTAATATAGATTCAAATTTTTTAATCAAAATTTTTTTATTATAAAATTTATACAATTTATACATATGTGACATATAGGAGGATCAAAATTTTTATTATAAAATTGTAATATGATGATGATGGTTTTGCTTTTTAATCAAAATTTTTTTATTATAAAATTTATACATATGTGACATATAGGAGGATCAAAATTTTGGGACCTCTTAGAAATTCGAGACCATGTGCCACTGCATCTTTTGCACACCCCCAACGTTCCCTCTGCCTCTAAGGACCAACCGACTATTTGAGTAGGTGGTGGAGGAGAGGAAACCTCCATGGCTATTCAGTGGATCAGAGGTTTTAGCGAAGAAGAAATGTTTTAATTTTTTCTAGATGTGGCCAAAACAGTGTGGTTTTGAAATTATATTTTTTACGGAGTTTTGAGAAAAAAGTTGAATGGAGATTCACTGTGGAATGAGAGAGATACTTTATTATTATATTGGAGTCTTGGATTTTGTATTATTACAATTACTTTTTACAGATTAAGATTCTTTTCCCTTCGCTTTTCATTCTCGTCCATCATCTCTTATTATATTATCTATTTTATATTTTTATTTCTATAAAAAATTAATATAAAATGTTAACGTGACTTAACTGTAACTATTCAAATAGAAAATGAATGAATGAAAGGGAAAAAAAGAGAGGAGAGAATCATACTCCACCTTTTACGAGCTCAGAGCTTTCATATTAGTAGTTTGCTGATTGTTTGTTTCCTGATGAGGTTCTTTTTGTTGGTTTTTTTGTTTCAAAGTAAAGAGTATTTTAATGTTTGATTTATTAAGATATGATCGATATGAGTGATGAGAACCTTCGTTCGAAAGTTAAATATAACGGGATTTTGTGAAGATGTGAAATTTAAAGAATCTCATATCGATGTGATGAGAAATTTTGCAAAAGTTTATAAGTTAGGTTCTTTTTTATATTGCCAATTAATTTTATGCTGAAATCTCAACTTTTTTTATGGTATCAGAGTAGGTTGGCCGCATGTGAAGCACAATGGTCTCACGGGCTCTACGTCACATAATTTGTGTTGTCCACGTGTTTGACTTGAAAATTCGCCGCACATAAAGAACTTGTAGGATGTGAAGTTTAAAGAGCCCCATATCGGTGAAATGAGAAATATTGCAAGGACATATAAGTAAGTTTAACTATTTCTCATATTGTCAATTAACTTTATGATGAAATTTTAACTTTTTTCGAAATTATCCCCAACTCCAACGCAAGCACCACTTTGACCAAAAAAATAAAAATTAACGCACGCACCACCACTTTGTCCACCTCTCCCCACAACCACCTGATCCCAATTTCCAGTAATCCTAGTTCCAAATTACCAATTGATATTATAGGATGTTAAATAAATAGATTGATGTGTATTAGATGAAAATTTTGAAACGTTTTTAGAGTATGTAACTTCGTTGTGAAGAAATTTAGTCTTTGTAGTTTATAATGTTGTTCAAACTATAATTATGAAAAAACATATTTATCGTTTTAATTTTCAATTTATTTTTGTCAAATTTTTTTTTTAAAAGTTTATATTGAAGCCACTGAGGACTAGTTTGGTATTACTGTACTTTTAAAAAAATTGCTTCTACTGTGATTTAAGAATAATCAACTTTAAAATAAAGCTGTTGATCGTTTGATAAACTTAGTTTTAAAAGTGATCGTGAGTATAAAAAAAATATAAAAACGTTTGGTACATTTTAATGTAAAAGTGATATTACTTTTACGTAATGGCAAAAATGGACATGACAGTGGGGTGGTGGCGATAATAGCAGTAGTGAGGTCATCAATGGCGATGGTGGTGGTGGTGTTGGTGATGGTGGTAGCAGTGGCAATGGTAGCGACAAATGTGGGCGTGTGTTGGTGGTGCTAATAGTGGGGTGTGGTGGTTGGTGTACAGATAACAATGGTGGTAGGAGAGGTGGTAGTGGCGGTTGTGTTTGTGGCTGTGGAGGTAGTGGTGGCAACTGTGGTTATGGTGATGATGGCGGTGGTGGCGGCAACGATGGCGGCAATGGTGGTGGTGGCAGTTATTGTGGTGGTGTAAGGTCAGTCTTCATAATAGTAAGTAGTGGCGTTCACTTTGTTCTAAAAAAGATAAAGTTGAGTGTAAAAGGTTAAACAATGTCAATTTTTAAAAACTAATGAGGGTATTACAAGAATTGAAAATATCCATACTTAAAGACTAAACTCCGTTTTTTATTAAAGCAAATTTTAAAAGCAACGTACATATTGCTTTTAAAAGATGCTATCGAAAGACCATTACTTTTAAAATAAGCAAGATATTTTATTTCTATCACACACTTTTTTATTGCTTAATTTTTAAAGTAAAGAATTTTTTACCAAAAATACAATACCAAATAAGACATTAACGTTAAAACTCTGAATCCACCGCTAGACAAAATAAAAGCAGCGACATGGTCACTAGAAAAAGTTACACATTTCATCAAAAGATATCCCACTAGCTAGAAAAAAGTTGCACATTTTGACCAACACATGCCTTTGGAAATAGTACTGTTTTAACCCTTCATAAACACTCCTTCATTTAGACACACTTTTACCTGGTTTCCGGTTGGTCGATCGATATCCATTAAGCAAAAGCATGCACGCACATGCATGCTGTGAGTTTGAGAGAGAGAGAGGAGAGAGAGGAGAGAGAGAGAGAGAATTAAAGCTCCATTTACAACCAAGAGGATATGATAAACAAGTAAGATACAAAGCAAAGTGATCAGCTAGGGTACACCGTCTTATCTCAGACTAGAAAAGTAGCATTCCACTATAAAATGTTGGCTGAAAGCCTGTACAGGAGAAACTATATAGTAATTAAAAGTCAGGCAATAATATGCTCTTCAAATCACTGGAACCAAAAGGCAAACATGGGATTGAGTTGGTACATTTTTGCTTGCCACAAAGCTCTCTCTGGGGACCCTTTTTTCTTTATGTCAATTTGTATAATTCTACTTGACATTTAGTTCTTTATTCTAGCCACTTAATAGTATAATTTAAGAATGTTTCGCTTTATTGGTAAGTAAAAAATTTTAAATTTAAATTTTGTGAATGACGAGTTTAAATATATATATGTGTATATATAAATTGACCTTCCATCATATAATTAGTATTATAATGTATCTTAAGTTTTCAACCCTGAAGTAAATTTATAAGATATGTCAAATCGGTCGGCAGATACCCAATTTTAATAGAAACAAAGGAAGATCAATCATAAACCAATATAATTTTGGTCAACATCTGCTACCGCATCACATAGATTAAAACTTTGTTTCAATGTTTAATTGTATACACTGAAAACTCTATAGTTCTTCGAGATTTTTTATACAATCTGGGATAGTTAATCATTAGATCTTGATCATTATATATATATGTAATAAAAAATCAAATGGTTAAAAATCTCAAAGTATATACCTTTAGTATAAAAGCCAAAAACAGTGGAAATGAGAACTAATAATGTTGTTCAATATCTAGTGAAAATACATATTACAGAATACCTCTCAGGGATGGACGCAAGATTGTAAGCAAGCAATCTAAATGAAAATTAACACTGCTATCTATTTGGGGAAACTTAAAAAAGAGGACAAGAACAATAAAATAAAACCAAAAACCATACACAAACTCCCAAGCACTAAGCAAAAGGAAAAAAGTAGGACATAAGAAGGAAAAAAAAAAGATTTTGAAGAAAGGGAGGAGGATCTCCATATATGAAGTGATCTTCAATTCCCTTGAATCTTTCTGAACGTAGTAGGCTTGCAATAATTTTGGTAATTGGGCAGCCACACATTAACTAGCAGAGGGTTTCCATATGGAAGCCCATACTACAGGTTCCTCTTTCCATGTTAAGTATATTCCTGTTTGATCAATATCATCCCCTCCTCCTTCTCCTCCTCCTTGTGGTGGTGGTAGTACTAGTGCCCAGCCGGCTCGATACCTCTTCAGCAACGCCTTGACATCATCCACAACATCGTCGCTGAATCCAACCGGCGAAAATGCCACCTTGAGCCTGTCAGACCATTGGCTTCCTCTCTCCCTTCTCTCACACTCCCCACCATTTTTGTCATCATCGTGATCGTGATGATCACAACCCAAAACCCTAACTATGCTTCTCGAGCACTCCCTCTCTAGCATCAGTCTTTCATTGCTAGTTGGGACAAAGCTTTCCTCTAGCATGTCAAAGTACAAAGTGTAAAACCTAAGGCACTCTTCAAAGCACTTGACAAAGTCATGATTTACTGATGAGCTGAAAAGATCAGCTTCTTCCTCAACAACAGTCACAACGCGAGGCCGAAGCGATTGAAACATCCGAATAACCGCCCCTCTCTCTTCCACTTCCACTCTTCTCAAGGCCCCAATGCAATTCACAGCAACAGCCTCATCCTCCTGAACACCTAGATCCTCTTTTGTGAGCTCTCCCAAATTGTTTAACCCGCTGATCACATTAATCTCAAAGGGAACACCCATTAACCTAGCAAATTTCTCCATTCTTTGGCCAATTTCCTTCATCACTGACTTGACTATGCTTGCTGTTACCACGACGGTGAGCTTCAAATGCGGCGTCTCATCGTTTCTCGTGGCCAAAGCTTCTAACAAAGTAGGCCACTGGGTGCAAATGGTATTGCTTATATCAATTATGTGAAGTTTGGTTTCTCCCTCCAAGGCTTCCAATATAGCACCGTTTGAAGCCACATGACCAAAAGTTGTCCAAGGGCTTACCTCTTGGAACTTTAGTATTAACTTCCTGGCTGAATCAAAGGAGTGACTCTTTTCAGCTACTGAGGTTAGGGTTTTGTAGCACCGGAGACCTGATTCCGTAGCCTTGCAAAAGAGAGCCTGCAAAAAATAAAAAGCCAGTTTCTGCTCACAGTCCCCATAAGGAGAAGCCATCTCGTTCAACATCCAGAGAAGGTGATTAATTTTACTGGAGTCTTTTTCTGAGACTGCCCTTGCACACTCCATGAGAAGCCTTGAAGCCCATTTAGCACCCTCCGGACAAGGCTCGCTGGACCCCCATGAACGGCTTGTTGATGTGTGACTATTCTGGGGCTGCTGATTGGTGCTTTGCATGTCTATAGCTGCTGCCAGACCATTGATCTTGATCTGGTTTGAGTACTGCTGCAGAAAATTTGCTTCCTTATTAGGAGAGAAAAGAGATATGTCCATATCGACCACTTTAATTAATTATGAGCGTACAGCTACCTGCTAATTAAGCTCCTTTGGCTCTTTAAGAGAGTATGAACCACCTAATTATTTGCAGAGCTCCCTCGCTATCTCATTTGAGCTCAGAAATTGCCAGGATATGGAAAGCAAATACTATTATATTTGAAGTCCTTTTCTTGCTAATTAGTTTATTTAATTATTATTGTGGCCTCTATTACAAAAAAGAGAGTCTCTTTCTTGCTAGTATTTTCCTATAATTTATGTTGGGCCATATTTACGGAAGCCATAGTAATAATGGGCAACTACATGGTTAGTTTAGTTTCCTATTTTGACAAACTATATATATATATATATATATATATGCGCATCTGATGAAGAACAGACAAGTATATAAAGAACAATAGAAAGAAAAAGAAACTAATCATAAATAATGTTTGGTACAAAAGATTTGAAATACAATGATATATTCATACTACGGTGCAGAGAATTTGGGTTATAAAATATAAACCAACTATAATAATTTAGTATCGAACTCATCATTTACAAAATTCGAACTTAAGACCTGTCAGGCTACCATTTACAAGTAGAGAAGATTACCATTAGATCGTAGTGCCTAGCGACATGATTAAAAAAAATTGAAATTAAATGCTAATCATCGTATACAAGTCCTTCTGTCCTTGTTAGCTTTCATGATAAGGCTAGAAAATCATTGTGCTGTTGGGATTATTATTTATAAATTAAGCCAGGTTAGACATATACCTCTCTATCAATACCCATCTTTTTGTAGAAATTAAAACTAAAATATTCATTAGGTTGATGTCATCATAAATATACAACAACAATCAATGGCGCCTAAGTTTTGGCAAGGAATAAAACATTTGTTCCCACAATTAAATATGTTTAGGATCCTTACTCAAAAGAAACTGGATCAAGCTAAAGGAAAGACAACAAACATCACATTTTCTCCTACTAAAACAAACAAAGAGATGATGATAAATGCTATGGTACATGATGAAATGGACAATATTACTAATTAATGCGGCCGAGTTTCACCATATTTCACCCAAACTTTTTGTCATAACAATCCCAATGGAGCGGCTCATAGATTGGCCAAATTGGCTTTGTATTATATGATCACGAGTCTTTTTTATTCGAAGAGCGTCAGGACTTAATTCAAGATAATCCTCCTTAAAAATTGTAATTCTTCTTAATTTTTCAACAAAAACCACTATCATTTCTCCTTAAAAATTTCCCAATATGTAAACATCACTTTTTATGTGAAGTAGTTTTTGGTAGTTTCTATGACAATTAAAATATATTAGAGTTTCAATTTAACGTCCATGGTATATGCATGTGTGGATGCAAAAATTTTGTAAGGATTAATTGACGATAAAACTTACAAAACAAATAACATTATTAGGCTAATTGTCAAACACTCCGGAGGGGGAGGGTGTTTGTCAAAAGGACTTTGATGCCTAAGTTAGAAAGGGCTTGAGATAAAATGAAGGGAGCTTTAATGAAAAAGGATTGGGCCAACAAATATTTAACCAAAAACCATCCCAAAATGTTATTTAACCCAAATGGTTCAAAGTTTAATAAAAAATCATCCAAAACTATTGTCTACGGGTCAAACTTACAAACCCAACCCGCTACAAATCTACACTTCCGTAAATACCCCTAAATGATTCAATATTGTCTTGACTCTTCACCAACCTCAACCCAGCACGAAACTGCTATAATAACTCCCTATCTTCCTATCAAATCGAATTCCCCCATTTCAAAAACAACCAAACCAAAGCTCAAATCAAAGTTGAAAAATGAAGTATTCATCGGAACAAAGCCGACAAAACAAGTTTAAAGAAGTTTAATGGCAGAAACTGACGAAAAGGTGTCTGGAAAAAAAAAATAACCAAAACATAAAACTGTTTCTGGAGAACCCAAAACATAACATTGTTTGTGGAAAAAAAAATCAGATACAATGTTTGTTTTGTCTGTGCACATACAAACACTGTATTTGGAAAGAAAAGAACCAAAATCCAAAAACAGTGACTTAAATTCTAGAAACAGTAACTTAGATTCCAGAAATAGTCTATGTTTTAACCTTTGACTGTTTCTTTTATTTTATGCATCAGTTGATTATATTTAAGAAACATGATGCTTATTTTGTTTTGAATCCAAATATAGTGAATTTCACTATTTCCTTTTTAGCTTACATTTAAGAAATAACGTGTCTATTTCATTTGAATCCAGAAATAGTGATTTAGATTCCAGAAATATTAAATTAGATTCCAAAAACAGTGTTACTTAAAATCCAGAAACAATTTATTTTTACAATTCAAAAACAGTGACCCGTCGCTATTATTGAATAGTATGCAAATCTCAAATTCATTTTCTGGAAAAACAAACAATGAACTCCACTGACGAAGAAAATTTGAAAAACAGTACCTCAAATACACTATGAATAATAACGACGATCACATACGAAATTATACAAAATATAAATTAAATAGCATGAGGATCTATATTTTTGTTTCAAAGAAAAAGAAGAAGGTCTGCAAAACAACGTTGAACTTTATTAACGATGAAAATTTGGAACTCAACCTAAAAAGTTAGGGGTAAAATCGATAAATCATAATTTATTATAGTTGGGCCATTTTTAGTTGGACTACTTTAATATGGGACTTGTACTAATCATTAAACAAAACTTATAACATGGTTTTTTTTTATTAAAACTAAAATTTTTCAAACTATTTTCATTATTTTTCCTTAAAATTGAATTCAGGGAGAATGGCCATTACCGATTTCTTTGGTTGACTTGGCTATTTATAGGAGGGATGACTGAGCTAGTCTAACTAATAGAGCAAACCTCTAGTGGGAGGTTTGTCCTTTTGCAGGTGGCCTGTCGTAGGGAAAACACCCAAGGGGAATCCGTAGAGCCGTTCCCAACCTAAGTCCAATTGGTAGAAAGGTGAGAAAGAGACTTCATGGGCCAGAAAAGCATCATGATATCTGCAGTAGGCCGAAAAACATGTTGGCGATGGGCAGTTCTGCTAGATCCAAGATGATCCGCCCACGATGTCAAGGATAAAACCGTCATCTTGTGCTAGTATTCATACCAAATGTCATTAATTTAGGGTTGTGCTATCCCCTATTTACTTCTCACACACTCCTTATTAATTTCTGTCATTTGATCTTCTTCAATTCATATGATCTGACGATCGAAAATTAGAAGGGTATATGAGAAGTACAAAAGGGTATGTGGATAGCACACCCCTTAATTTATATCTCCACGATATGTATACTCAATTATCACATTATTATATATTTACCATGATCAACATGTGATATTTGATTATATTTGATAAGTACTCAGTAAAAAGAATGTTCAAAACGAAAATTTTAAATTATCATATGAACTAATGCACTGTTATCAATTTGTTATATGAACTAAAATTTGAAGCGATTTTTCATATAAACTTTCTGAAATCATTGGTTTGCCATATGCTCTAAAATCATTGGTTTGCCATATAAACATTTCAACTCTCCACTTCCCTTCTAAAATGTCTTCAACGAAACAAAATCTAGGTTTCTACAAACTGAAAATGATTATGCAATGGAATAATATTTTTTTTTATTCTAAAACAAAAACAAAAATGAAGTCATAATGAGTTTTCAGTTTGTAGAAACCTAGATTTTTTATTCCAGAATATGTGATATATGTGATATTAGTGATATAGGTGCTATAGTAATGAGTTTGAATTGCAGAATATGTGATACAGTAATGAGTTTTTTTTTTTTTAATTTTTTTTAACAAAGATACAGTAATGAGTTTGAGTTCCAGTATATCGCATATCATTATTCGTTGTGATATAGTAATGAGTTCGAATATATATATATGTCACATATCATTACTCTAGAATATGTGATTTTTTTTATTCCAGATTATGTGATATAGTTTTCAGAATAAAAAAATGCATTATGTTTTTTTATTACATCTCTAGAATAAAAACTCACTACAAGAAAACATGGCTTAGGTAGCGACATACATTCTTCACATAAACAAGAAAATTCGTCACATTTGACTATATGTGACGAAATTCTAGCGTCACAATTTTCATCACATATACACAGTCACCTATAGTCCGTGTAAATTCGTCACGTATTTATAGTATGCGTGACGCTACTTGCGTCACTTAGTACCAATATGTGTGACAAAGTATGCATCACAACATGCAACATTATATTTTTGCGTTTTGTATCAAATTTATATGTGATGCTTTTGTCATCACCCAATATGATGCCATAATGATATAGTTGCACTTAGCGACGGTGAAATTGTCACATATTCCTTTTATATGTGGCTCAACTTAAGTAACATATGTTTAAATCAAATACCTATTTAGGATTAATATTGACAAATTAATTGTTTTTTCCTACTTCATAATCTAGAATTGTAGTTCATAACAATTATAGGTTGTTGATGCACAAAACCGGGAGGTCTTGGAACAACGTAAATCCGACCGTGAATCTGCATGAAATATAAATAACACAAGATGTATCGTGGTTCACCCCAAGGTTTGGGCTACGTCCACACTAATTAGTATTTATTTGAGGGAGAGAGAGCTCTGAGAGTGAGAGCTTTGAGAGGGGGTGAAAGGGCGTAGGAATTGGCCTCTCCTAATTGTAAGGGTAAGAGGTCATTTTATAGAATAAGAACTCCTCACTTATTACATATTTGCCATTTCCTTTATTACATAATTACATTTAAGTCCCTCGAGTATTTATACGAGGTCTAAATACGGAGGCCCTAAATATGGTATAAACAGTAGTCCCCCAAGTCTTCAGTCAAAAGAGTCTTTTGGCTAGAGACTTGAAATTCAGTCCATATGTGGGTCGAAGTAACTAGATGTTGTCTTGAACTGATGCTCGATATGAGGCGATGCTGAATCTGAAATGATGCTCAACTAGAAGTAGCATATGCTACGAGGCTGCTCGGCTCGTGGCTTATGTTGCCTTGGTTGGCTCGGCTTGTGGCGTTGAAGGTGAGGGAGTCCCTTTTATAGAATAAGGGCTCGCTCCTTAATACATGAATAATGGGTTAGGAGTGATGCTCGCTGAGAGACGGTTGCTCAACTGGCGGCGATGCTCTCAAATGATGGTGAGGGAGTCCCTTTTATAGAATAAGGACTCACTCCTCAATACATGAATAATGGGCTAAAGTCCCCCAAGTATTTTTCATGAGGCCCAATATATGGTGTATATAGTGTAGTCTCCCAAGTCTTCGGTCAACAGAGTATGTTGGCTAGAGACTTCAAATTGAATCCATGTATGGGCCGAAATGGTGGTTGTTCGGAGGTGGTATTTGTATACCCTGCACTAAAACTTTGTAGGTAAAGCTTTGCAAGTGAAGCTTCGAAGCTGGAGCTTTTGTAAATGAAGCTTTCGAAGCTGGAGCTTTTGTAAATGAAGCTTTTGAAGCTAGAGCGCTGTAAATGAAGCTTTTGAAGCTGATTAACATGAGTGATGCTCATGAATGTTTATGTTGATTGACATGAGTGATGCTCATGGATGTTGTCATGAGTGATGCTCATGAATGTTAACATGAGTGATGCTCATGAATGTTGACCTGAATGATGGTCATGAATGTTTATGTATGATTGTCATGAGTGATGCTCATGAATGTTTATGTATGAATGACATGAGTAATGCTCATGTATAATTTGGAGTATTGGGCATACTTTTGATCACCTGGTTGGTGGTATGAAGGAGAGTACATGTTGTACATTTCATCACCTGGTTGGTGGTATGAAGGAGAGTACAGGTTGTACAATTTATCACCTGGTTGGTGGCATGAATGGCTAATTGCCAAATGATATTAGAGTACGGGTTGTACATTTCATCACCTGGTTGGTGGTAATAGCAGCAGGTTGCAGAATAATTTTGGAGTACTGGGCGTACTTTTGATCACCTGTTTGGTGTTAATAGCGGCAGGTTGCCGAATAATTTTAGAGTACTGGGTGTACGTTTGGTCACCTGGTTGATGATAATAGAGGGCCTGGCTCTTTTGGGCATATAGGCATTCGCCCTCCACATGACATTGCAGCCCATTATTTTGGGCTTGCCCTTTTTTTTAACCCTCTGATGGGGTTTATACAAATGTCACCGAAAGATAAGAAAAATAAATTACATCATATAAAAACAAAGGTTTCGACACAAAAGCTTCGACAGTTGCAGATCGTTGGTGCGTTGCTTTTGCTTTTGTTTTCTGCTTTGCTTTTCGTTTTCTGTTTTGCTTTTGCTTTTCCACCACTCTTTGTCTCTTCACCTGGTAGACAAAATGAATCGTTATAGAATTAATAATAGTAAGCTTTTCTTGATATCCCCGCTCCTTGCTTTTGCTTTCATTTTCTCTTTGCACTATGCCTCTCTCTCTGTCACTGTCTCTGTCTCTGCTTTTGATTTTTCTTTTGGCAAACTCAGTGCATCTCTCAACTCATTTGCATTAATGAACCCACTTCTGTCTCGGTCGAACCTCTCAAATATTCCTCTCCAACATTTCCAGAGATGGAAACTCACTCGGTTTCCAACCTCTCTAATAAAGAGCTGATCCACTGCACCACCGTCTGAAATGGGTTGTTTTGAATTGGGTTTTGGGTCTTCTCCATTTTATGTGCTCTGCTCCTTCTTGCTCTGCAACAGTTACTTTTCCGGTCAATCTAAGCTTCCTTGGCAGTGTAGGGAAAGAAACCTGCAGTTTGTTCTTGCCTTGTTTGTTGGATGGTCGAAGTTGAGTTTGCAGAGAAGTAAATCTGGGTGTAATTAGAAAAACGGAGAGGATTAGAAAGCAAAGCAAAGTGAAGAATGGAATCTCCATAATATTATCTACGATGTGCTTCTCTGCACAAGAACCAAGGTGGTATCCAAGTCATGCTCTTCTCTCAGATCCAAATTAGCTGGCCACTCCAAAGATATTACTCCCCCATCATCCGTACTTATACACAGTCTCTGATACTCAAATTTCTTTCCACTAAACTTGCCATTTCTCTTCCCAAATCAAATCGGATTCTACCGCTACTTAGCCGTACGAAGTGCTTGTCCTCCTTCACTAACTTTTCGTTCAAGTCTTCTAACAATTCGCTGCATTGAAACGACACCATCGGACACCGTAGCAGCACGAACCGGTTAAACGGCGTCGGACTGGTGAACAGAACCCACTCCCCGATATCCGAGTCGAATTTCCGCTCGACCGAGTTCGGGTTCGAGTTCAAGTTCGGATTATTGGAAAGGAAGAGGGTGGCGCAGGAGAAGAATCAGAGAGCCGGAGCAATAACTTCGAGGGAATTAGGGGACGGGAATCGAGAAATGAATTCATGGAATGGGATTCCGATTCTGAGTCAGCTTCGCTGGAGAACTCGCTGGCATGTGTACGAATTTTTTTTCGTTCTTTCCCTCACTAGAAAATGGAAAACGAAGTGGGTTTTTGGGTAGTTGGAGAGTTAAGAGCTACCAAAAACAGTGGGAGTGGGAGTGTCTCTGAGTGTGGGTGTTGGGCTTCTATAAACTCACGGCGGACAGTGTGAGATTGAATGAAAAAATGAAAGAGAACCGACATAGCTTTTCGTGTCGTTTCCCACAGACGGCGCCAAATGTTGATGCACAAAACTGGAAGGTCTTGGAACAACGTAAATCCGACCGTGTATCTGAATGAAATGTAAATAACACAAGATGTATCGTGGTTCACCCCAAGGTTTGGGCTACGTCCACACTGATTAGTGTTTATTTAAGGGAGAGAGAGCTCTAAGAGTGAGAGCTTTGAGAGGGGATGAGAGGGCATAGAAATTGGCCTCTCCTAATTGTGAGGGTGATGGGTCCTTTTATAGAATAAGGACTCCTCACTTATTACATATTTGCCATTTCCTTTATTACATAATTACATTTAAATCCCCCGAGTATTTATACAATGTCTAAATACGGAGGCCCTAAATATGGTATAAACATAGGTAATACTTCACATTTTCATTAATCAACAATTTAAGCACATAAGTCGAATACATTCACCAAGTGTACATCCCAAAAATTAAAGTCATGGTAACCTATCTCAAAAGAGAAGTCTAAAATAGCTTAGTGCTAACAAAAGACAGCTTCAGGTACTAACAAAATAGAAGTCTGCTACGCCAAAATAATGAAGGGCATTAACACTTATAGACAACTTTGGTGCTATTATAGGCAACTTGGTACTAACAAAAGAGAAGTCTAACTTCTAAGACACATTTAGGTGATAACAAAAGTGGTATACCATGTGGAAACTTGAAACTAACAACAAAAGACATAATATCAGAATTAGTCATCTTCCAAATCATGTTCTTCCAGCTTAGGATAAGTATCTTCACTCTCTAAAATATCACCATTTGATTCCGTAAAGTTGTTGTTGGTCTTCCCCTGACTTGCAGCAAAAAAAACCTTGATTTTTATGAACATATTTTCATCAACATTCTGTAAATCCAATCGAGCTTTTAATTGTTCATTCTCATGTTGCAATATGAGGAAACCATATGATAGAAGCTTGATTTGAGATCTCATATCAGTTAACTCAGAACTTGAAGCCATAGAAGAACCGCAACCATAAGTATCTGTTTGAGGAAAAACACCTACACCATTAACAGATTTTCCCTTCCTCCCAAGGTTTTCAACCATGATTCCAAACTCATCATCTAATGACACATGTACGAAATCTAATGAAGTACCCTCAGGTGCTTCTTCAGTCAGCTTCTCCCTTAGTTCATCATTCTTTTTCTTCATGTTATCCTTTCATAAAAAAATAGAAACAATTTAGTTTTTTTTTTTTTTTTCATTTCAAACATATCCAGCTATAATATGCTTAAGAAAACACAACTTGAGTGCTTGTATGTGATCATTAACTTATTTAGAAGGAAACCACTAAGTATAATTAGTCTGTAAATATAATTTGTAGCTTTTGTTTTAATATCCAACTCATTTGAAATGACAAAACTGAGTGGCTCTTGAATAACTTACATATTTATCTTGAGCAACATCATTGATCCACTTGCCGTTCTTGTCTTTGTGGAGAGCTCTCCAATTGTCAATCACAGATAATGGATCTCCTTTCTGCTCAATAATGAAGAAACATGCATGAGATTGCATAATGAATTATTATAAGTACTTTAATTTCATTACCATGTGAGCCTTCCTAGAATGTTGGATGAATGGCCTTGCTCCTCCTTTGTGATGATACTTTTGTTTCTTCCTATTATCATAATTTTTGTTTGAAAGCTCCTACATTAATTACACATGTGATAGATGACAAGCAAAAGAAGAGTTAGTATTGTAGACATGTACAATTTGGAAAGCTCCTACCTCCCAGACTTGTAATATATATTCATGTGTTTGAGTTGTACATGCATATTCATTCAAATTTAACAGAATACTACTGTCTAACATCTTTTCCAATCAGTTAGATTCTAATTTCCATAAACACTATATAATACATGTAAAAGCACCTATATATTAAATAAGTTGGTAACATTTAATAGATTATCTATTAGGCGATATGGGGTGACTGATGCTGCATATGACTGATGATGCATATGACATGCAGCATCAGTTACCTCATATCGTCTAATATCCATATGCAGCATCAGTCACCTCATATCATCTAATATTATCACAGCTAATTTATAATAGAAAAGATTGGATATGATACATACCAAAAAGTGGGTAGTAGCGTAAACCTTATAGCATAACCAATCCCAATGACTCTTTGGTCTCCCATTCCATATCTGATCGTTCGACAACTTAGCTCGTCATCTTGCAGGTGTTCCACATGACAAGTAATACTTATACAACCGGTGCCTAAACACATAGTACAACTTCGCCATCTTCTTATCAACATATTCAATAATCTTCGGATGGGATAGCTCTACCACAAATAATACCTATTGTTAAACATAAAATATACGAGTTAGTGCTTGAAATTATTATGAATAAAATGAATTAAAATCAAACTCAAAAGCAACTTATCCCGCAATGTCCTCTTTTCTTGAGGTGAGACCTTCATCCATTTCTTGTAGCAAACTGGTGAATGAGTCCGAACAATATTCCCTATCTCGGTAGTGAAAAAACCTAATACAACCAGATCATTTGGAACTTGAAGTTTGAAATCAAAGATGATCGGCATCTTCTTCCCACCATTGGCCTCCAAAATATTGTGGAGGCCTTTCCCACATGACTTTTCACGTGTCATCTTTTTTGCAGTGAAGTCAAAATCTGTCTTTATAAATTTTAAATATATATATATATATATATATATATATATATATATATCTGATCAATGTTATAACTTGTTTAAAACAACATTAACAAGAAGAAATAAATTAACTGTAATTAGCCTTTCTCAAATACCTAAGTTCATGTCTGTTGGCTCTTCAGGTGAAGGAGCATGTGGTGGAAGAGATGGTGGTGGCGGTGGAGAAGGTGGTGATGGTGGATGCGGAGGTAGGACAACCCTGACTTGTTTCACCCTCTTTCCTCGTTGCATAGAAGTCATCTAGTAAATTGGAAAAGGAAAAATAATAACAGACTAGCATCGTAAATAATTATCATTATAAGCATATCAAAGACTCTCCTTGCACAATCTCAAGTTGAGACTTTCTTATTTAGAAGTGCTTTCCCTTTATAACTAGTTAATGTTTGTATATTTGTTGTTATTATATTCTCTCCAACTAAGTGTAGTGGAGTGTTTCTTTTCATTATTGTATCTTGGGTGGCACAGCTCCTCATGGACCTCACTCTTTCCGAGCTCTCCTTCCCTCTTTCCTATTAATAGGTGTGTAATCTTGTAATGATCATCAAGCATGAATATACAAAGTATTCAGACACAAAACCACTGAAGTATTCAAATACTCTAGCAGCAAATTCAACAATTTATCCATCTATCATATTTCATATACATACTGAAATTCAACGAATGTAGATGAACATCTTCAATTAAGTGAAAAAAAAAAATGTTATGACAAACTCTACAAGGACAAAGCATATGATTGTTCTGGTCCACATGGCGACAAACAGTGTGAATGAATGACTGGACCCCTTCTCTAATAATCTGAACTAAAGTGATTCCGACAACAAATCCATTGTCTATCTTCAGCACTAGTATTGGGCCTCAGATTTTGACATAGTTCAATAGGTTGCCATAACAATTTTTCAAAAATTTGTTAAGATAGACATATAACATAACAAATATGAATGTCAATAAATTGAATTCCATAAATTCAAATAACAAGAAATTCAAGAGCAGCTAGATGCTAAACAAACAAGCAGGGCATTAAGTATTCACACCCATCTAGGTACAATTTTTTTTAAAAAAAAAAGCCAGCATGCCATTAAGTATTCACACCGATATTGAAAACCCTAATTTAGAAATATACATTAACATCATCCTAAAATTTAATTAAAAACTAAAAATGGAAAAAAAAAATCTTCCACCCCAATAACACGAGCAGGATTTCTATAGCTAGCGTTTCTCCAATATCTCGAAAACCCAATACATAAAATTAAAAAAATTTCAAAATTTTCACGATTAAGACAAAATTCTAAGAGAGAAAAAAAATGCAGTAATTTCAAGAGAGAGATTTGAGTACCTTTGGATAAGAAATTGGGAGAAAGGGTAGCTGAGATACTAAGTCGCCTTAGGTCAAAAGAGAGTAGAGTGTGATAGCAAGCAATGGAGGTATGGGGAAGACAAAAGAGTGATGGTACTCGCCGCCACCAGCAGTCGGTCAGCAAATTTAGGAAAGGTGAATGTCGGCTAAGAGAGGAAGTGGAGTGAGAGTAGAACATATGAATTCTAACGAGTTGGGGCTTTTGGATTTGATTTACTTTTATGTTTTTTTTTCTTTTTTTCTCTGTCTTCAATAAAAGAAAGGTGATGATTTGCCCTTCCTCACACTAACCCAGGTGGCCTTATCTTATGTTTTGTGAAGAAAGCAAAATTTTCGTCACCCAATATAATTCATCGGGCGGTAAACTTTGCCGCCTAAAAATTTAAGACTTTTAAGTGACGAACAACATTTCAAAAAAATTATGTATCCCGCACAAGTATGCATGTGACGGTTTCTTAAAATTCCTCACTTATTACACCAAATTGTGATGAATTTTTGGGCGTCACAAAAAATGTCGTCACCTATTCCATGCTTTCTTGTAGTGACTATACTTCCAGAATATGTGATATATGGTTTGAGGACTGTATTGTTAAAGAGAAACTCATTACTTCATTTTTGTTTTAGAGGAAACTATACTTCCAGAATATGTGATATATGTTTTGAAGATTATATGTTTTGAATTGCATTTTAGAGATGTAGGTGCTCAACAAAGCAAATGAAGTAATAAGTTTCACACAAACAAATTATTTGAATAAGCACAACACAAACAAATTATTCTTATTACTGTAACAACACCGGTAACATAATTTATAGAACCTCCTTAGACCTCTTTCCATGTTTTTACTTGCGTTTTTATGACATGTTGATCCATTCACCATCAATTTGTATTGCAATTTAAATTTTAAATTGTATAAATGTTTTATCAATTTGTATTGGAAGAGAAATACTACTTGATTAAGTGCTTGTTGGTGACATGTCTTGTATTTTTAATGAAGAGATTTCTAACATTTTAGCCTCTAGTGAGTATGGACAATGGTATAAGACAGAATTTGGGAGGGAGATGATATGCATTCTCATTGGAAAAATTGTGTAGTAGGACCCAAGGGTTTTGGTGATTGAGAAACTTTTAAAGTGAGCCCTTCCATCCACATTCCAGCAAGAAAATTAAATAAATTTGATAAGTATCGAAAAATAGATACAAAGTTTGCTGGTGTACACAAAGTAGACAAAAGTTGCTGGAAAAGTTTCACTATCTATGACCTAGTAAAATAATAGTTATATGGCGAAAGCTTCAAAAATAGTATTATCGAGGCTGCTATTGTGATAGAATCTTACACTTAACAATTATTACAGTTAACAATTATGTTTATGCACTATGGTGCGAGTTCAATCTTAAAAACCTTCTCTCTTAACAATAATATTTCACTCTCCAACTCTTTCTTCTAAAAATATTGAAAATACTATCGAGATATGGATGATGGACCATGTTGAGCCTGTAAGCAAAAAACACATTAGTACACACTCATTGCAAAGTGAATAAAAACAGAGTGATCAATGTCGATAGATTTCCTTTAATTTATAATAATTGCTAATTATTATTGTTTCTTTCTTTTGGAAAAAGGTTACTAAGAGAATAATTAAAAGTTTTTAAAAAGTGTTTCACAATTTTATAAATAAAAATAAATGAAAGATGGATGAGAAAGGAAGGTGGTCTCTTAATACATTTGCTTACCCACTTTGTATGTATGAATACATTTGTTTAGAAAATGAAAAGGAGAGAGAGGGAGAGAGAGATCGTGAGGAAAGTGGGAGGTTTTTGTTTTTGGTTTTTTTTTTTTAATATTGAAGGTATTTTAACATTATCTGTGTAAGACTTCAATAAAAAACAGTAAAATTTAGACCTGTTACATTATTGCCTATTATTTTTTTTTTGTGATAGAAAACTAAGTAGTCTTTTCATCTTATTTTGGTTGACAAAGAGGGCTTCATTAATTAATAGGGATAATAGTGTGATATTATAATTTTTTTTACAAGAATATAATAGTTTGAAATTTCATTGATCAGTCAACATAAATATAAAAATGTCAATTGGTTACAATGTTCTAATGACCAAGAAATAATCTAAAGTGAATTTGCTCATACAAACAACTACATTAAGCTCTTAAACGGCTACCACATGTACGAAGATTAGAAACGCCACCAATACTAATTTGCGAAAATGATAGATGCACCAGATATATATTAGCAAATACAACATGTCATCGCCAAGTAAAGAGGGCACATAAAGTCATTACGGAAGATCGAGACCATATAAAGTCATTGTTGGTAGATGAGACGACGTAAATCATCGCTCAGGCGAAGAACACATCTAGCCATAGTTGTAGCATGGCCACAAAACAACAAAATTGCCCTATGCTGAGAAGGGACCCACCAGTTAGCTTATCAAGCCACAACTACCTGCAACCTCATCGCTCGACGGCGAAACCCAACATAACTGGTTGTTAAAGGCGGTGTAAGCGCCAGATCCCAATGCATAGGGTAGTGCAGCCCACATAAGCCGACATATCAGTGCACACGAGGTGGTAAGTGGTTTAGCCATCCGATTTGAGGGCATAAAGTGGCACAACCACAAAACAGGTAGGTGAGGTTAATGCCACTACAGATAGAGGTAGATCCGACCCACCAACAACAAAGAACCACCCAAAATCCTAAATCAAGCTCTAAATCAAAGAACACGGCCTTGAATGAAGGAAGATCTCGGCTTTGGGGCGAAGGAGTTGCTGGGTAGCACCTTGGAAGAGAGAGTAAGGGGAATTGCCGGAAAGGACAACACAAATAGTCAAGAAAGGGGAAGGGATGTGGTTGTAAGAAGCATGAGGGATAAGGAAGTGGTTGTGGAGGGGCTAGAAGGATGGGGAAAAAGTTAGAAGGAAGAGAAGAGGTTGTTGCCAGCCCAAGCCAGAGCAAAGGCTGATGACGACTGAGGTTGCAGCTAGGGTTTGATTTTTGGAGGAAAGTATGATATTATAAATTTTTAAAATTGACTATCACTAGCTATTGATTTATTAATATTTTTCTTTAAATGTAAAATGAGGTTGTTAGGGCACAAAAATTTCACTACAAGCACAACAATATCTCATAGCCTAACTATCGTGAAAGCGTCACAAGCCAACTTTATGTTTACGAAATCGAGGGGTTTGTGAGTTTACGATCATGTCATGCTAATAAAATAATAATTTATATAATAGATGTTTGTATAACCACATCAAGCCTACACAATTCATGCATATTTAATATGCCAAGTCATGCTACGACATTAACGTTGTAAATAAATCATGCAAACCACGCTGCATGCTAAAGTGGGCACAAGCCACATATTAGGGCTTGCCAAGTAGATCGTGGTTTGGATGGTTATGGAAGTTTATTAGGCCTAAGTGAAGTTAAGGTTATGGAAGACACTGAGCTATTTGGGAGCACCAAAAGTCCTAACCCATAGTCTTTAGTTGTTTTAAAAACTAAAAACTCGTTTAGTAATCACTTTTAATTTTCAATTTAAAAAAAATCGAAATCTAGAACCAAAGAAGCTTTCACTTTTTGGTCTAAAAACTGAAAAAAATTACAAGCTAGAGTATATAGAATTAGTTACCAAACTAGTTTACAATTTCACAAAAATCATTATTTCATTTCAATTTGTAAAGAAACCAAACAAACCAAGATTTAAGTGGCATCTTATGTACCTTATTCTTCTCCAATGATTTGACTAGAAGACAAGACTAAGAAGCTCTTTTTTTTAGTACACCCAATACTATCTACACTAATAAAAAGATTGAATTAAACCTTACAATAGACTTGTCATAATAATTTGATTCGAATACGCTTTTAACGAAAATTCAAACATAAGACTTTTTACGTATAAGTGATTTTGTAAGAAAAATACCATTAAACCGTAGTACTAAGTGGTTCGATATTATCCCAACCTAAACATTTTGCTTTGTTTAACTATAGAATGCTTAGAGAAATGTAGCCCCCAATCTCCTATATGCCTAACCCTAATTATTCAATTCCATTAAAAAGGTGGATGGTCATAATTAAGAGAAAAAAAATAAATTACTACATCGATATTTTTATATTAAGAGAAATGAGAGTTCAACTAAGCCATATAATGGACAGCCTAATTTGGTATCAAATTTGTCATATTTAAACCTAAGACCTCTCACTTTTAAGTGAAGATGAATACCATTAGATCGTAATACTGAGTGACATAATCAAGAGAATTAAATAAACTAAAAATAATTAAAATAATAGTTCATCTCGTCATGGTCTTCTGATTTTAATGAAGATTCCGTTAAAGGGGTCCATGCCTTTGCAGCTTTCCATAGCTTTCCTTGTCTGCATGTGTCTCCCAACTTCATATATACACAGAGAGAGAGAGAGAGAGAGAGAGAGAGAGAGAGAGAGAGAGAGAGATCTAAATTGGGTGATGAAATCATGAACGTCGTCGTTGTCAACTTGTCACGTACGAGTGTTAAACTTTTATTAATTATTATATACTTCTGGCCTGCAAATTATGAAGTATAATGGACCCAAAAAATGAAATAAAAAGTTGAGGATCATGGATGATAAGTAATAAGGTATCAAATATCAAAGAAAAATAAAAATAGTATACAAAAAAATTAAGGGCATCTGAATTATATATTCGCGTCATTTTATTTTTAAAAATATATTATCAAAATTAATTATCGTAAATACCTTGCTCTGATATTATATTAAAATTAAAACAATTCTCATTCAAAACCAATTGGTATTTAGTAGTGGTTGAAGAACTCCATGATCTTCACTTTCCCCGTGTTTTTTTTAATACAATGACATTTTACTCAAGTGAGGAGGATAACCTACTCTAAGGGAAGGTTAATTGAATCAGGTCAAACACTAAGTATCAAACTCAACACAAGTATAACGTTCTAACCATCCATATGAGTCAAACCTGAAGTCTCACAAATAAAGAAAAATACTACTTATACCGCATTACTAGTTGGTTCCAATTTCCCTATGTTAGTTAAGTCTATCAACATCTGAAAGCATATCTCTATACCTAGACCTGGCATTTTGGACCCGACCCGTTAACCTAACCCGATCCGACCCGACCCGTTAATATTAGTATTTGGATGGATGCTTAACGGGTCGGGTCGCTAACGGGTGAACCCGTTAAATAACGGGTCACTTTAGGTCAACCCGTTAGACCCGTTAGCATCCGTTAGTCGAGGATATTTTAGTAATTTCAATAAAATCTTAACAATAAAATATAAACTCTATGCAAAAAAAAACAATAATAATCATAATTGTTAACGGTGAAACGGGTCGGATTCGAGTGATCCGTTAGCTTAACGAGTTGGATTCAAACGACCTGTTAACTTAACAGGTCAGGTTAAACCCGACCCAAACTCAATAAATCCGACCCGTTTACAGGTCTATCTATACCTATGGGATGGCTACACGGAAAACGATAACGATGAGAATTTGAAAAAGGAAGTTCACGAGAAGTAGTGAACAAAAGCTTGATGTCTCTCTTTATCCAACACCACCTCACAAGTCATAGGCACATTTTTTGTATGCGTCTCACTGTAAGCGTCCGTGGAGGGATTTTGAACATGAATCTTAGTTAGGTACAAAATTATTGTATTAGCTAAAAGGATTCATTGATTTCACTTGCTCAAAAAATAAAAAATAAAAAATAGATATATATTAATATTACAAATATTCTTCACATGTAACATTCTTTTCGGCGTTGCATGGTATAGACGAATTAATAATTCTATGAAAATGTGGAAGCATGCTTGAATAGAAAACTACAGAAACAAGTGAAGAGGGTAACTAGGCAAGTAATAAAAGTGGATTCACCAGAGAAAAATACATGAAAACTATGAACTCGTTTGGATGTGTTTTTAAAATGATTGAAAGCGCTTTTAAAGAAAATATTTTTTGATTCCAAAAGCACTTAAAGTGCTTTCTGCAAGAAGCACCAGTATGTGCTTCTTTTAGAAAGTACTTTTAAGTGATTTTCCAGAATTTACTTGCATTTTTACTAAGGATTGGTTCCAAAAACATTGTCACCAAAAACGTTGTCAATCATTTTAAAAGCACATCCAAACGAGCTGTAAGACGACAGCAGCATCTGATCATTGCAAGAAATCGGAAAAGGTGAGTGATTCTGAGATATTATGTGGATGATTCCTACTGCTGGCGCAGTTACAGGACAGATCTCGATAGCCTATCCATATGAACAATTGCTAGAATGTACTCCCAAAGTGCATCGCGAATTTAGAGTGGAAAATAAAGAGGAACAAGTTTCAAACTTTCATCAAGACAGGGATCAGAGAATTGTACTTGAGAACGCAAAGCCTTGTCTGAATCAAGGGTGCCAAAGGCAACATCAGAGGAACCTATTTAGTGCATCCATCTCTTTGAGTGCTCCATGTATGGCTCTAGAAATCCAATAAACTGAAATGCCACCATGAACACAATCATTTTGTCGCTTCACGAAAATTCAAAACTAGAAGCTTTAGCTAATATAATGCGTTTTAAGTAAACGATACAACTGTGGTTAAGCTTATAAAAAATAATCCAACCGTATTAATTGGACACAATCTAGGGCCATGGTGAAACCTTAGATTGAGAGTACAGATAAAAACAAAGTTAGAAATGGATGCAGATACCTTACTACCATCACTCGACCACCGTGCACCATATCCTTCAGCAACCCTGATTTCAAAGATGGCGCCATGTGGTTGAACAATATGCACATTTAACCAGCAACAATGTGTCATTAAACGACTGATCACATCCCATGCAAGCCTGTTTTTATTGGAATCTAAAAGGAGAAAAAAAGGTAAAAAAGCCTGATCTTAATACAAAAAATACAATAGTTTACATGTATGAATAAAACTTGGGTTTAGACACTATGAAAACGAAAAACTGTAAAAACTATATGCTTAAAAAGACTAGTGGAGCACAAAGCTTGTCATATTCAACCGTGGAATTAACATTTGCAATTTATTACCACAACCCAAAAACATGACAAAATATTAGGAGCTTATCGGATCATTCAATGCTTTTAAGGAGGTCGACATCAGATCTGGTATGACAGATAATAGCGTTAGTCATTATTGCCCTTATCCTCAGGCCTCCAATTTTATGTAAATATCTAAGAAATATGAATGATTCTTCTTGTATTAGCCGTTGTATTTACCATTATCTATTACACAGATAATAACAGATGTGTTGTTATATTTACTATTATCTATTACACAGATAATAACAGATGTGTTGACTACTATCTATCAAACACAATCTATGATAAATATAAATGAATGGAAATAATATACTTGTAAGGCTGACACAATATCAAAAAGAATCATATTGCATAAGAGTACTCTACCCGTGAAACAAATAACACTATCTTCATGTGAAAGGGTGACTTGTATTGCATTAGGATAATTTATCTGTCCCACGAGCAGGGACAGAGCTAGGATTTTTTTTCTCGGGTGGGCTTTAACTCTAGGTTACATAACCTGTTAAAATCTTAATATAATGAAAATACTTCACATACAACAAAAGCAAGAAACAAACATGCAATGCAAATATGTAAAAGATAAACTACTTATAAAATCTTAATATAATGAGAATACTTCGAAGACTCAAAAAATTGCACAAAACAAGCTCAACAAACATAAACAACTGAGTACAATCCTCAATCACATAACCTAAATTAGGGGAAACATGTGAAGTATTAAAGCTTCTCAACACTTACTCAGGTGGGCTGACTTTGACTAAATCATTACAACTACTACTAATTTCCCTTCTAATATTCTCACTTGGGCTGCAGCCCAAGGCCTGCCCTCAAAGGGATCCATCCCTGCCCACAAATAAAATAGTTCAATTTTTTTCTCCATAATTTCTATTCATTGTAGGTCTTGTTTGATAAATACCGATGAGGTTTCCACGAGATACAAATTTGGAAAAAACGGACATATACAATAAAAGTTGGTGATTTGAATTTTGTAAAATGTAGTACCTATTATATTGCACCCTTTGACACTTAAAAGATGTATAAACAGTCAGACTCAGAAGTAAATATGATAATTATATGTGTCACTCAACCCATAAAAAACAAGATGGTAATGACATCTCCAGAACCTAGATTTAAATCAAGGCACTAAAAGTTGCTCACCGTTTCCATCTATAGTACCCCAATATTTACTGCTACTCCGCTCTGCGTGTTTTGCCAGGGCCCTAGCTCCATGAGTCAATGTGCTATGTTCAACCTTTAGCCAGAAAGAACAAAGTTCATTAAGCATACAAATATACATAAAATCAATCTCCAAAGCCTCTAGCAATAAAAGACATGCCGAAAAGAGAACTGCAAATTTTCAGTATATTTTATTCCTTAATCAATCTATAATCAGACTTTGTTATGACAACCTGATCGACATTTAATTGACAGGGTCCAATGTCTGTTGAAATATATGTTACAGAAAACACCAGAAGATTGATGTGAATACACATGCCTATATGAAAATCAACAATCAAGCTTTCCTTTTTCAGATTTGATCATTTTAGATGTTAAAAAAGTTTAAATAAGTGGTTCCGAATTGCCTACCATACAAAGTAAAAGGGAATGCACAACACATTTTTCCAAGAAAGGATTATCAGTGTCTTACATTCAATTTATATGGCAGCATAAACGATGACAGAAGAGTAGATTTTGGAGGGGGAAGAACCTCTGGAATAGTCCCTGTGGTATGTGCCAGACCAAGAAGGCCTTGAAGACCTCCCTTATTCAATCCCTGAATAGAACAATATACCTATCAAAACTTTCATAAGACAGTGTGAACTTTTATCAACTCAAGGCAGCTTGATTACAGAATTCCTCAATATGATGGTATCGAGCACAAGGTTTACAAGTGATCAGACTAAACTAATGTACCCTATCCACACGATGAGGTGAATGTCTGAGATTGCAGAAAGAAATACACTTACAAAGAGCATGCCAGCTAATAAATCGCAAGGCTGGAGAGGCAATTTTGAAACACTAATCGCAAGGACACCATTTGACATTTCCTTCTCCTCTGTGTAAAACTTTCTGTATACTTGCACACCTTTAAGTAGCATGCCCTTTAGTCTTGAACAATTGTAATCAAGGCCATAAATCACTTGTTGATGATAAAATAAATTATTAAGACATTTAGGGCCTATTTGTATTGAATGAGTTCTGGTAATGGATTTGGATTCGGAGGTCCAAATCCAAAACCTGTTGTTTGGGGCTGGTTTTAGTAATTGAATTTGGATTTTCCCCAAAGACTTCCAGAATTCACAGCTAAATATAGGATTTCAAATTACTGCAAAATCCACAGTAAGCCCTCCCTCCTTCCTTTGATCAGTGTCTCTATGATATTATGTATCAGTTAGCAAAATCCAGAAACAATAAACTTCTGACTCTTCTTCCAACACATAAATTAGTTTCGCAACTCATATTGTAAATGCAAGTGCAAGGGATATGCTAAACTTTGCACCAAACCAGTATCGCTGCCTTTTCTTCCCCATCTTCTGCTCAAAAAATTCAGTTCTTTCTTATGCAACATTAGAACACAGAACACACGAACTAGCTCCACTTTTAATATGGTCATTTGACAGTTAATAACTTAATAGTACATGATATATCATTACAGCATGTGATTGAAGTGCTATTTTTCACTTAGGCAGATTGTTTAGACAGTTTTCTCATAATCAAGGACAGGCAAAAAAATTTGCACAGAATCTCCCTTTTACATTCAAAAGATTATATTTTCATAGTATTATATATATAGCTTTCTGAATAAGTTCCAATTCTTGTGAATATCAAGAATTGAGATACTCTCACAACAAGCGCTATCTTTTTTAGCCATATATTGAACCTTTTTATCATGGTAGCATATAAGCTAATAAATAATAACTACAAAGTAGCACAGTAGGAAATAAAATATAAGCAACTACCTTGTTCGATGGTTTCAACACCAGGAAGGACTTTAGATAGACCCTCAGCCTCCATCATATCAGAGAACAAAGAATAACTGCGAACATCCTGCAAATCCATTAACTCATAGCAGAGCCAAGGTGAATATAAGAAACGAGAAACTAATAACAAAAAGCATAGGCACCTGAACTTCAATTAGTATACATTTATTGAAGAGAATCAAAGATCCTGAGACAATTCTGCATCCATAGAAAATAAAAATTAAAAACATGAAAGATAAATTCATTCGATATACAAAACCCTAGTAGATGAATAACAACTATACACATTGTAACATTGATGAGATGGAAGTAAAACCCAAAATGAAGAGAAATCTAGATAAACTCTTTTCACTTAATCACACAAAGCAACAAAAGCATGGTCCATAAAATACATAACCTCGTGCAACGTCAAAGCCAGTTCACAAGTAGCTATGAAAGCATAATATGCTGCAAGAATGAGATATTTTCTACACCAAATTAATATAAAAAAATGCATATAGTGAATAGAAAAAACATAAAGCTTATAGTGGACAAGAAATTAAATAAAATATACAATCACCAAAACAAAATCAGTCACCAACAATAATCAGAGCACCGCTCCATTACACCCCCCATGAAACTTTTTTGTTCGGGAGGAAACATGATTATAGTATTAAGAATGTGAAGTACAATGCAGACGGAACAGCAGTGCGAGATCCACAACCCTCGTCATACAATAAACAAGAGAGCCAAAACAAAGAATATGACACTACAGCATCCACCCACGCCTAAAATAGAAACAGAAGACACCCAAACAACAGCCAGGGCAGCTAGAGAGAGAGTAGACAATCATGAAAGACAAAGAGGCCAAAGCCGACAGAGACCCAATTTTTCTCTCAAAAATTAACTTTTCCTTTCCTCCATCTTACCCAGAAAATAGCTAGCACATTATCCACATTCAAAAGCACAAAATTCTAGACACAAGTATCTACATGAAAAGGCCGCACCCTACTCAACGGTTGAGTGTCACCTAGAAACCTGAAACAATTATAATGCAATCAAAAGGTCACTGAACAATGAACAAAGAGATGGTCAATGCTCTCAGCATCCCCATACAGTGAGATGTGGCATCTTCAGTTGATGAACCTCACTAAGTATTCACCCTTCCACGAGTAACAATTGAAGCAAAAACTGAACCTTAGCCTTACATATCTACAAGGGATGGACTGAAAGTGGGAAATTGTAATCCTCAAATAAGGAGCAGCAAAAGTTAAAACCTAAGGCTTGAAGACTCAAGATTTTTCATAAATTCCAAAAGGTGAAGGCCCAAATATTCTCAACCAATGAGATCAAGGAATACTGCAGTCTTGAGCTCACTCAAATTTCTGTAAATGTTCAAGGGCCAAATCCTTTGGCTTCCAAAACTAGATCTGATAAAACCAGTCTACATAATGCTATGCCTTCTAAAAGCCCTTTTCTCAGTGATATACTCTTCTGCCATCTCATATGCTACCACCACTCTGTGTATAATTTGGCTAGCTCTCACCAAAGGCACTTTGGGAAGGCAAGATTGAGTTATCAAGAACCTCCCTAAATCTGAACGGCAGTACTTTGGCTAGAACTTTTTATAAACTAGAAACAAGGCTAATAGGTCAGTAAGCATGAATCTTCAAGGAGTCCAATTTTTGGTTATTGAGTGCATGACTGTTGCATTTGCAATCCCAAAGATGAAAACACTATGACACCATCGTACCCATGCAAACCAAATCTCATGAAAATTCCCTGATTGCTAATCTTGAAACTGAGACAACTCTTGTATCCCATGCTACTGTTGTCACTCCAGACCTACCTTAAGAGGGAAGGAACACCCAATCCTTGAAATCTTGAGCCTTACACTCTACCAATTATTCTCCTGTCTGTGTTTTCTTGTTTCAGTTCCTGGAGCAAAATAGTGGCAAGAGCTGCTTTGAAACACATCACTGGGGTCTGATTTGAAACACATCCCTGTAAGAGATGGAGGACCCGAATTTATACCTATGTTTATCTTGTATATGCATTGTCTTTGTGGTTTTACATGTTTTTTACACAATTCAAAATCTTGTCTTAGGGCTTTCATCGAATAAGTTGATGGGTGTGAAAGTTCATTTTAGATTGAGCCTCCAGTTTTAATGACTCTTCATCACTTTTACTTAATGCAAATTACACACACCATTAACAAATAATGTGAAATCTACGTACAAAATCCATGGAAAAAGAACATAGCAATGCGTATAAGTAACTAATTAAATAAGACTCTTGGTTATCATATTAGACACCAAAACCCATGCCAGTCAATTGATTTTAGAGATCAAACTTCAATTCGAAACAAGAACTTGTATGGTACTTTAAACTGAAAATACGGATAAAACTATACCAATAAGCCTGCACAGAAACCGGTATATGCATAAAACTTGAATGGTCGTACCTACAGTAATCACCAATAGCACACCTTCCTTCAATTGTTTTGAGGCCATCTACAGGCAACGTCAATTAAGTTGATAGAATAAGCTTCAATTCATTGAGGATGGTTTATCATCCTATTTAAAATAAAAATTATAAATCTTCTCATGTGCCTGCAAACGGTTAATTTTATAGAAATAATTACCTTTAAGCTGTGAAAAGAAAGGCTCCTGAACATGAAGCTCAAAGTCAACAGCCCTTAACATCTGGTGACAGGCAACAAGTTTTTCTTCACTAATTAATCAAGCTGCTCTTAAAACTGAAGACATCAAGAAAAACAAGCAAAACCGAAAAGGCCAATTGTACTCTACATTGAATAATTCAGATCCCTTCTCCGATATCAGCTTCTGCCATCCATTTTTTTCTTCTTTCAAGGAACTTTCCTGAACATCCGAGGCCATATTGTGACGTGTGCCAAGACAGGTACCAGAAATTATGGATTCGTGCAAAGCCAATGCCAGACGCTTGTATAAAGGGTAGGGTGGAATCCCTTGAAAACAATCTGCAAACAATTGCCATATTTGAACACAATACAATCAAATAGTCCCATGAATATAATTCAGATCAAAAGTCAACCTAGACATCATGCATTGCAAATATACGTTTATGGTTCTATGCTTACATTTGCTAGTACCATGTTGCCAAATCATATGACTAGTTACAATAGTTTTGATTAGTTTGGACATCTGTCAAGATTAGTTAGTTAAAACTTAAATATGATTAGTCATCCGTCAATGTATAAATAGCCGAAGTTTAGCGTAGTTGTAATTTAGTTCAGCTCAATTGAATGAAATCAGTTCTTCATTTCTTCTTCGTGTTATGCTTCCTTAAGAAACCCTAGAATTTTCTTCTCTTCGATTCTTGCTGTGAGAAAAGCTAATTTTAAGGATTATGACGGATTTCATGGCTTCGATATCAGCATACATGTGTGTGTGTGTGTGTGTATGTATATATATACATATATACACACAGTTGTTAGTCATACACATACGTATGCATGAACACACACACATTGGGCAAGTTCTCTGGTTGGTAGATAGGAAAAAATTTGAAAATTCAAAACTTTGAGAAAATAAACCCATAAAATTTTGGCTAGAAATTGTTGGAAAGCAACGGAAACAAAATAAAATAGAAAAGGATGAACTGATTTACCTGTAGTATCGGAGGGGGAAGGGGGGAAGAGGTCGTCGTTCGGTTCGGGTTCGGGTTTGGGTTGGAGTAGTTGAGAGCAGAAGTCCTTGGGCAACCCTAGATCGAGTTCCAGGGTTCCATTTACGAAAGATTGGAGAGTGAAGTTGAGGAGCTCTTCGAGAGTGTATGCCAGGTTAACCCGCTCTGCCATTTTCTTGCTCAGCTTTCTGTTTCTTCTCCCAGTTTTCTTCCTCTCGTTCGCCTGCCAATTGGACCGCCTTTTCTTCCCCCTTTTACCAACCAAACAAATCAAAACACGTGTTTGGCGCCAAACTACTATTTTGGCTTTTTAACCTCTCACACTCTGATTATCATTAGTGTTTTCGTTTGATTTATTCAATTCGATAGTAAAACAAAAAACAAAAAAGTGTGAGAAATTAAAATACAAATAGACGATACAAATGGGATGGTGTGGAGCACATGTGGTCGTTAGATTTCATATGTGAGATAATCTGCTTTGATACCATAAAAGAAGTTGAGGTTTCACTTTACAACCTGTTTGGGTTAAAACTTAAACTTTGGGCTTAGAAGGGAGTTGGCCCAAAAAGAGGAGAAAAGCCCAAAGCTCAGCCCAAGCCCAGAAGGCAGAAAAGGCCTTTCCTGACTAGGTGCAGATCATTTGCACCACTTGCTCACCTACCCAAGGGCCAAGTGGTATAGACCAGCCAACTAATCAGCCCAAAAGTACTTTATAGTGGCAATACAAGTAAATAGCTGATGAGTCACTATCCTTCAAAACTGCATTCGGGCAAGATTATTGCTACAGGAGGCCAAGCCAAAGTGTCTATAAAATGAGACAGAAAAATCAGAGTCAAGGACACTCAAACAAACCAACAAATACAAGCACAAACTCTGCTCAAAACCAGATTTGCCTTCAAAACGAAGCTGTAGTCAGCCCAAGCCTTCATCCCTTTCGAGATAAACCCTTTGTAATAGCTCTGCTATCCTGTTCAACTCTTGTTGTAGTATCGATTTCTTTCTGTAAACTCACCTCCCAACCCCTTTTCTAAGCTTTCAAACCTCCTGATAAACCACAAAGATAGGAAGTTGCAAGACGATCAGCCTTGCCCGACCCTCTTTGTTTTTGTCTTTTTATTCATTTAGCCTAGCAATATGTTGTATACTACAAGTTGTATCCAAGTTATTTCTAGTAATATGGTTATTAAAAGACTCTCTCAGTGCTTGAATCCGATTTGAATATGTCTTCACAGTTCAAACCAGATCTAAGTTCTAAGCCTTCGGGCATGTAAGATTTGATCACTCAAAAAGTCCTTGGCCTCAAGGCATAAAAAAGAACCTGATGTGGACTTAACCCATCCACGACAAGCTTTGATAACAAGAAGTCCGAAGTTACTTGAGGCGCAAGTAATCGACCTGTCACTTAGTTTTATTTCTATTATATTATGATTACCATAGAACGTTCGAGTACGGAATGAATTCTGATGGGAAGCCTCAAGGCCTATTCAAGGCCCTACAAAGGCACCTATTTGGATTCATCCTGTTCCTCGGGCTAGAACATTGAGTATAGAAGGAGTTCTGATGGGAAGCCTCAAGGCCTATCTAATGTCCTACAAAGGTACCTATTTGGATTCATTCTGCTCTTCGGGCTCAGGTAATCAAAGGTATAATGGTTATAAGACTCATATAACTAAGAAAATGAACCTTATGTATTCGAGTACTAAGTTAGTTATTAATGGGAAGCCTCAAGGCCTACACCTAAGGCCCACAAAGGCACCTGTCAATAACTAACATAGTCTCTCGAATATATATAATTAAAACTCAAACATCCGTTCTACATCTGCAATGTTGAAGATGGCAGTGGCACGCCTGAGCACTTAAAAGTTAATCTTGATTGTGAGCCTTAAGGCCTACACCTAAGGCCTCACAAAGACACCTTTCAAAGTTAACTTTGTCCTTCTCTTTCAGCCTTACCCGACAGGCTTTGCCCGACAAGCCCACCAGTAAAGTAGAAGCTCGACAGAAAGCATCAACCGGCGCCGACCTCTCGGGGAGCTGTGTGCTCGTCGGCTAGGAAGCATCCCCGACGGAAATTCCTGCCCCGAACACAACCAATCGGCAATATGGAGAGTAGCCCAGTTTACTTATAAACCTATGCAAGTCTCTCCTCCCATCAATGTAAGATTCACTTTCAACAACAGTATTCCCTCTTTCAAATATTTTCTCTTGTTTTTTTTCCATTTATATCAGTGCATGTACATGTACAATTTTGTATCTCTAGTCTATGTATAAGAACTCCGATGGAACTCGCTTGCGCTTTTCATTCCATGTATCTGAGAATTGGTTGCTATATTCTATGCTAAGCTAGGATTTGGGTTGTTCTTAACGGCAGTAGCTGCGCCCAACTCAATCACATTTTCTGTTGCAGATACAGAACCATCTGCAGAATGATGGTTTCGTTCATGACTGGCTTGTGTTGTCCACAACAGAACCAACAACACCATTAGTATTGCAAGAAAGACCATTGCTGCCCAAACCATCTTAGCGTATCGCTTCAACGGTTTGCAGTGTTTGACAAGGATTTCGGAGAATGCATCCTTCACTGTCTGACATTCTACTAGGCTTTCCATTCCTGGGTATGAATTTAGTATACCTTGTATTGAACTTGTGTAGAGTTCCACCAGTTTGTAAGCGCTGTCCGATATAACTGTTCCATTCTCGCAGGTTCCACTGCTGGAGTCTGAACAAGTAAGTACTCTCAAGACCTTCGGAAATTATATACAGATGATCAAGGGTTAGACAGTGATAAGTTCCCAACATGTTAAAGCATAAGAGCCTTGGTCAAATTCATAAAACCTGTATTGAGCATACCTCTGGGATGCCTCCTATTGGAACGGAATTCTTTGGACATTTTTGCGGTTGGTATTGGTACTCTGGTGGTTCTGAGAAGGGATTGCAGACATATTCTATATTCTGAGATGATGTTTCCTGTAGAGATGATATGTCTGCATTGACCTGGAGATTTACCAAAGGTATAAATTTCAGATTTGCAACCATTTTTATGTTGAATGCAGTCGACAAATTAATTTAGACTGCTAAACCAAAAGACATTAATCACTCTGCTAAACCGAAAAACATTAATCACTCTTACCTCATTAACAAGGCTATAGATCCCGGAACCAACATCATTTAGAAGCGATTTTGCGGAGACCAATTCATCGCAGGGGAGGATTGAGCTCAAGCTGTTGTTCGGATTTTGTTGGAAACTTTTGAGAGCTGTGCATGTATCGTTTGAGAACCTGAAGTAGAACGAACAGTTTTCCATTAACATTCCCAAACCTTTTGTTGTATATTGTTTCTTGTGTTTTCATTTACGGAGTCCTATCAACTGTTCTTTGAGAATATACATATATAGAACACTTAAGGAAAGGAAAAGAGCTACACATACTCTGCCAAGAAGAAATACAGCCCGAAAAATAGCCAGCAAAGAATAGTTAACAACCAGCATAGTATAATGAGCCTGCAGTAAACAGAGAAAAAACATTGTGTTAGGATTTATATCGTTCTAAATAGTTGCAGAACTAATTTAGTACTTGTACAAATCAATTTAGTAAATTTTTTACACTTACAGTTGAACTAGCCGTCGTAACTTCAAAACTCCAGACACTGCAACAGGGAGAATTACAACTTCAGCAATAATTACAGTTGAAATGATATACAGGAATTCCGGCAGTTTTAATAGCAACTACTGGACATATCGATTCTTAAAAGGCTTATATTGCTTATGTTGCCTTGATCAGACCTTCATGGAATCGACCTAATGTGTTGTCCTGATTAACAATCTGACAACAAAACATTTACGAAGAACTAGTAAAGCAGATGATAAATTTTGCAAACAACTCAAACACCCACCTGACAGAGCAATCACTGCAACCAGGCCCAAGGAAATAGGCACTGTTGTTACAATATACCTGCAGGCGCCAATATATCACATTATTATTAACATCCAATGAAGGGAGTCAATTGTTACTTGAGACTTGGGAGGGAACTGAAAGTAGAAAGACTTACACTATCTTGAGACCCTTGTCAATCAAACGCCGGTTCTTCTTAGCCTGCCTTTCTATAGCTGCAGCTGCAGTATCAAGCTTTTGGGATGTGGAGGTGAGGAAGCTCGAAACCTCAGTGTTTCCGGTTGAATCAAAGTTGTTGCTCATTTCTTTCATGGCTCCTGTTGTGTTGTACACGGTACCTGATGCTTCATTTGCAGTAGTTATGATAATGTCCACCACTGATTTCGCTTGTGAATGAAATCTCGCGTTGCCCCCTAAAACTAATCCGAATGCAACTCTGCACGCATGGATGATAAAGGAACTAGTATCATGAAATTATATATTTGGAAGTCATTGGAGAAACTTGTTATCATTTAGAAAAATACAGAATTTGTGTGCGAAATTAGATTTACGTGTTTTAAATTCGGTGCTAGAGTTGGACTGACTACTTACATTGCAAAGACGGTGAAGAATATGGCGAGGAAAATGTGCCATTGCCAGAGGTAACACTGCTTATGACAAAGTAATCTTTTCTTCAGCTTTCCACTCTTCCTATTTTTACAACAAAGTTTGGCTGCTAATAGGAAGCATCCATATAAAATTCCACACAAAAGCCACAGCATCCCAAGTGCATATCCATGAATTCCAGTAAATATCGTTGACTGCATAAACACCATCAAAGTTAGTTACTTTTGGATCAAATTCGAATTCGAAGCAATGGATGTGCATTTGAGCGCGGGCGTAGAGAGAGAGAGAGAGAGAGAGAGAGAGAGGGGAAGAGGAAGGGCTTACACTCCAGTAGTGCTTGTTGGTAATGTTGTATCCTCCTCTATATTTTTTCAAATCATCTAAAGGATCCACCCTTACAGTATCATCTGACTGTGTCAAGGGTTCTGATACATTGTTTGCCTGAAGCAAATTGCTCCCTGGAAACAAGAATTGAGGTAGTTAGAATTGAATCCCATTCCACTCCCTCAGTAATCATGTTTGGGAATTAATGCACTACTTAAGCAATATTAATCGATCTATGCTTCTATCTATATTAAGAATCTGTGATTTTCTCAACATTTTTCATCCTCAATATTGTAGTGGTGGAAAGTAATAATGCTTATACGCTCTAGTGTAGGTTCAATCCACACCGATCTTCCTCTCTCTTAATATTAACAATTTAACTCACTAACATAATCGTTTTAGAAAAATAAAAAGAATCTATGATTTTTTTTCATGACTTGGATTTTTTACTGTGTTTGACTTGCTTTTTCTTTATTTAAAATTTTTTGAAACTTCGAATTGGAGAGCATTTAGAAGTGTTTCCAAGATTGGAATCATAATAGGAATACCTTTTGGAATTTTTTTTTTCGAACACAGAATTTCGGGTGCACAAAAGCTCTTAATTAACCAGCTAAAAGATAAAAATAAATAAAAACGACGCGTGTTTCCATGGCAGGCCGTGTTGAAAAACTTACCAGCAACAGTGTATACAACATTTATGTGCTTTTATCTTACGTTACAAATGGGGAAGAAATAATGACGCATAAATTGTACAGCACCAAGATGCAGGAAAGTTCACTACGAGCATATGCTATGCAACTCACCTGGTACTTGTGGTGGGGGTGCAAAGTTGGTCGACCCAGTAGACTGTCCTTGTATTTCTGTGATCATCCTCAAGGATAAAATCAGCATCATGGAAACAACTAACGATGTGCTATATGTGGGAGCCATCTGTAACCTTAACCTGCCCAAGTAAGTAATAGATCGATGCTCTGATTAGCAAGATGATCACAATTCTTTTGCACAATTCTTTTGCAGAGAGAGAGAGAGAGAGGGAGAGGGAGAGAGAGAGAGGAATGACAATTTGAATGATTTTCATGCTTTAGTATTGGATTAGTTGTGATTAATTTATATCGGGTGGTGCTACATATCCA